GCGATTGTAGTTTTATTTGCAGCTTGAAGTGTAATCGGGGATGTTTCTCGACTAATCTCAGTTTTATTTCGAGGGATGATGCTAAGAGCAGCGCCAGTGTCCACCAAGAAATTTAAGCCCGAGTTTCTGTCTCTGACATAAAACAAGCGACAGTTTAGGCGCCCCTCCTCAGTTGTCGCGACCTGGGGAGGGGTTACTCGTTTCCCGCTGTCTTGGAATTATGCTTAGGCCAGGCGCATGGTTGCCTGCACTTGGTTGAGTTGACACCAAACTTCCAGTGGTACCAACAAAACTGCCCAGATTGTCTGGACATTTGTGACCTATTTTGTGACTTGGATCGTGATCGTTGTGGTGACCTGTTCCTGTTTGTATGACCCATTTGCATTCTGGTGACAGCCTCAGTGAGACTCTTAACACGCGCAATAAGTCCTTCTATGACGGGGTCTTTTGCTGATTCTACTTTCTGTGTGTGATTTATTGTGCCTGATCCAGTTGGAGGACCTCTTTCCATTATTCTATCAGCTATACGCGCTAAATGAGATAATGAGGTTTCAGGATCTTGTGCATCCAAACAATGTTGGACGTAGCATGGGAGAGCTTGTATCCATCCTTGTTTTAGGACTGCTTCACCCACTGTGTTATCACCCACTAAGACTTGGAGGTGACGTAGAAACTGTGACGGCGACCGATCACCTAGTGTTTCACCTTGAAAAAGTCTTTGGATTCTTTGACTATCTGATAATGATAAACGGTTCATTATCTCTCGTCTTAAGACGGTGTACGGTTGTGGTGATGGTGGATCTAAAATCAAGTCACGGACTTCTTTGGCGACTGAAGGAGGAAGGATAGAACACAAATCTCTATAGCGAATCCCTTCAGATTTGATATTGTGTCTCGTGAAATAATGCTCGAGTTGAGCAAACCACAACTCAGGATCACTACGATCAAATTCTGGAAGTCGAGATTTCGTAGTCATAACAGTGTCTATCTCCACTGGTGACAAATCCTCCAGATTATGGGTTTCTTTTAAATCTGACATGAGGTATGTGACAAATATAGCAACAAAATTAGCACGAAAAAAAATGGTTTCTATGACACGAATAACTTAAGATAATAAAAAAAATAAACTATTTATATACCCAACTTAGTTTACGGATTATCAGGTCTACTTTTACGATTGAGTAAAAAGAAAATAATATTAATAACAAAAATGAGGTTCATTTGTGTTCAAAAAGGGCTCACCAGTTTCGTGCCTATAGGTAACCCTCGTACTATTGATAGAAGAAACCCGAGAAGTTGTGAGTACGTCTTTATTTCGATCTTAGCGCAGTCACAGTGGAGCGTGGGATTATCTGTTCAGACAAACAAAGGCTTTCAGCATTCAATATAAGATAATCAGGAATATAACGCTTATACAAAATAAGGAAGTGAATGAATACTTGAACAATACTGTTTTTGGCATATGCTTGGTTGTTTGGGGTCAACTCTTAACCAACCAACCTATGCTGTTACAAGTTTACAGGTTCGATAACACTCATTTTTTGAAGTCGTAATTTTTATTCAGCTATTGGAAGAGCAGCATAAGGTACAGGTCTTTTAATTCGAAAGACGAGGGTGCCTGAAGGTTTTAGGGCTAACAATGCTTTGGTCTTCGTACATTCTTCTGATTTTTCTTTAAACTTATTGTGGTGTCTATGTAGCACAGCATTTTTCTGGTTCCACTGTAAGGGGTTGTCAGTTCTGATTCGTCTACAGATGCTGTTAACAAAATGGTCTGCTGCTTTTAGTGTCTCTATAAGATCTAACCCCATTTAGTCGAGTACTGGCTTCTTTGTAAGATATACCATTTCATTTGTTGTTACAGTACCTTAAGAAACAGTGCATAGCTCTTCTCCAGCAATATTTAACTTCCCCCCAGATGCACTGTGTGCCAGTTGTGTTGTTGGAAGAACTGTGGGTCTTCCAATATTCCTACAAGTTTCTGGGCTGATTAGAGTAATATCAAAAGCTGAAAGCGAGTAAGGTGTTTAGTAATATCTGAGGCTACATACTTTATTTGGCGGTATATTTTTTGTTGATCAACCACACCTGTATTTCTTGAAGTAGGGTTTTGCAGAATATCGCTTATGGTTCCTTTTTCTGCAGCTGATTTCTTTATGGCACTACCGACGACATTTACTGCGACACTGTTCTTTATACGGGCAGGACCACTTATTGTGCCAACCTCCACATGACCAGTATGGAGATGAGGGCTGATTGTATGTGTGCGATAATTTTCTTGGGCAGGAATCTTTCTTTCTGCTTACAGCCTGGACGTGTGGCAACAGAATATTATTTTCAAACATTATTATTATTTTCAACGTATATGTTATTGATTGTTACGATGCGATGAGTTGGTGTAAATAATAATGTGGCTTCCACGTAAGATCTCACAGATTAGGGCAGTTACATCGTGACAAATCTACAATTTTGGGATTAAGTCTATTTATGGAGCGGTACCAATAACGAAGTAGACCAAAATCGTATAACGTCTTCAGCTACAAAATCTAGGATACATTTAGCTTTAACGAGTTGTTGGAGGTTTTTTGATTATTAAGAACCCATATATGCGCCAGGGGCGTTAATTTCGGCAAAAATAGTTTTATAACTGACGGTGCTATGGCGATTAGTTTAATGATACCTTATGTATTTCGGGTTTAACAACACCTTGACGCGTAAAATCTTTATAGTTGAAGTGTACCAACTCAGTCAAATAAAGTCAGAAATGAATAGGTTCTAAGATATCTTTGATAGGTTATCAATATATCGGGATGCATTAATTCTAGGCTGGCTAACGGTTGAAAGAGATGCGTGGCTTGGTGTACTCCATCGACATCTGGTGTGGATAAGTAACCGAGCACATTCAGCTAGGTGTATCTATTAAAAGTCTGAATTAAATATCGTAGACTTATAGAACTATTTGTTTTGAGGATGCAAGTTCTTTTATATGAATCTGAGTGCTACATCAATAATAAGAACGGTGGTAAAGATGAAATCACAGTTGATTGGTTAAAATCCGCTTACTTTGAAGGAAACATAATCTATGTTGACTTTCATACCAAACGATCATACGACATAATTCTCACGGCAAGTATACGATCCATGATAGATAACGACGCCAATAAAATTCCTCTGGTGTCCGATTGAAGGTTCAAGATGTCGCGATTAGGAAGAGATGCATGGTTTCAAGAACAGTTGAACGACTACTGCATGTAGATTATGTTATAAATTATTGTTTTAACTCGCATTTCGTGTCCTACAGCTACTTGATTGTATGAAAACTAAGTAACACAAAAATGCGTTTTACAGTACGTTTATATACGTGCATATTCTTTGACAAAAAACTAAATATAACTTTCTGGCTTTTTTCTTTGTCACGTGGTATATATGTACTTAAATATACCTGACTTTCCCTCATGTTTAGCCGGGTTACGCAGGTACGAGCGTGTTTTAATACGTACCGACATTTTGGTTTCTTTGTTTTCTAGGACGACAAGAACAGACGGGATTTCGAAGACGAATTTGGTGAGCCAACACTTTTTCCGTTAATTTATTTCGTAGCTGTGTATCACATGGCTCTGACGCTGCCGAACATAGCAGAATATCCGTGTGTTTACCAACAGCAGGCTCGTCTTTTTTAAACTTCTGACTGGTTTCGTTTTAAGGTCGTAACTTTCTCATTATTGAGGAGGCGAGTTTCTGTGGTGAGTAAATCCCGAAAATAAATGGTAATTAAATGTCTTCGACAGTGCTACTGTCCTCATCAATTTTGCTGGACACACCCTAACTGGACAGAAGTTCTATTTCTTTGGTGGAGATTCAATCAGACTTATTTGATAGCTGAAAAGCTGGTTGTTGGAGGTCAAGGCAATTTTTTGGATGAATTTCCCAAGGTTGCAGATGTATTAACGAGAACAATATATCTTTACTATAACGAGCGAACCGCCAGTATTCGGTCTGAACGCAGGACTGACGGATCAAAATGCTTTCGAATAGGCCAGACTACGTCCTTCTGCACAGCGTACTAAGCGTTTTTGAGATACTCGTGTTAAATTATATTAAAACAGAAACTCTGTCCTCAATTTAAACGTTCATAATTTAGGCAATAGAACAAATTATATCAAAAATACAAAATACTTCAAACGGTTCAGCCTGTGCTTAACAAGCAGAAGTTTCTCTAACGCAAAGTAGAGCGCCAAACAGTAAAAGAAACAGTTAATACCAAAGGGTTCAAATCAATAAGAATATTCCCGATAAAATGGGACCCAATGTCTATATTCAGGGATTCCATCAACTCTTCCAAGCAGACAGTCAAAAAGTTATCAACCACACACTAGACCAGGCCGTGACCTTGAACTTAGTCAAACACGACTTTACTGTCAATAGTCCGGCAACATGACATAGAAAATTAGGTAACAAACGATAAGTCTTCAATCAAAATCATTTAGTAAAAGCTCAAACGAGAAAGACTAAAGAACAAAAGGTTTGGTTAAACGAGATCTGAACGAAGGTTAAAATACACGACAGGGGGAAGAATTAAATAAATGACAGTAATGTCCAACAAAAAGGCTGCGGACGGATTTTCATCGTTCTCTTTCCATTACATTTACATTCAAGCTATAATACTGATCAGCTTGAAGGAAGTTAGTAACAGTACCTTCAACTTCCACCATCAGAAGCAGTAGAATATCTGGAATCTCATTATTTTTCACTTCTGGGTTATGTTAAGACTTTTAACGCATTGGTGGTCAACTGGTCTTAAATTTATACCTATCTATGACCAATTATCTGTAATATCAACAGAAAACATCAAAAAATAACCGTAGCCAAACAACATAATTTTAAGATTTGCCTGCTTCTGAAACCTTATTTTCATCAAAGTATTTAATCCAAAAGGTGTGGACCGAAGCTTTGACAGAACATTAATGTATTGAAACATTGAATTACAAAACTAGTTAAAATGAACCGAAATTCTGCGTCGTCATATACTGTATAATAAAACGCTTTTAAAATGAGACGTGATATTATTAGTGTGTTGAAAAATCCATTGATTGCGTATTATAATATATTCGACCCTGAAAATATAGCACAATTTGCCGCTATTGCACCAGCCCCATCCAAAGATTTTTACCATCTGTTAATAACATCAACTGAAGTTAGTACTGACAAACAGGTTCTACTTATATTTGATGAACTTACCGTTGAAAATCGACATTGCATTACATGATTCCGATATCGACTGTTGCGTATGTGTTTTACTTCGATGTTTCAGTTTCCAAAACGTTTAGTGCGTTGCCTATATAACGTTATATGAGATGTCAGGAGTGTATTATTGAACCCAAAAATCTCAACATCATGAAACTCGCTTTTTTATCACTTATCGTCATAAAAATATTATCGGTCAACTTTGATTCGGTAGAATAAACGCAGTTGTTTTAACTTGACAATACGCAATTGTGTATTTAGTGGATGAATACCCAGTCAACCTAATTAGTTCTGAGTTAGAAACTTTCACTTGATTTGAATTCGGTTTTTCGTACCATTATATGTACTGCTTGATTTGTTGCAAAGAAAAGTCTTTCTCCAAAATTTCATCAGGTTATATTTGAATGGCCAGATGTTAGCTCAAACTATGCTATTGTTCTTGTACGGTATTCGACAAATATGTCTTTGGCCTTACTGAAAAGATGAACAAAAACGCTTTCTTAAAGATTCTTGTGTCTCAAAAGGCAGAGACAGTTACCCAGACATTCTTGAGTATTTAAAGAAATAGTTGAATTTGTAGTATAGTTACAGTTGGTTTGTATAAAGTTCATTACTGATGTGACGCATCAAAACATACACAGCGAGTTTCGAAACTTCATCTCTTCAGATGACAGAACTTTATTCAATTCTTTCAAAAGGAAAGCGACTTGCCCAAACGCAATATACCTTGACAAACTGTTGTGATAATGTTGTGATGATACGTACACTTGCTAATTCATAATTGCAACTTAATATCATTTCATATTTGCATATTTAGAGAGATTGAAACCTCGCATACATGCACATTTTCCGCTGACATTTATCAGCTTTGCTCTCACAAAGAATATGTAAAATATTTAAATCGTTTTACTTTATTAAAAATTCATAGTATAAACTTTATACAGTTGCTATTTTAACTTGTATCAGAAAACCAAAGTAGCAAATTAAAGCAATAACGGGATGAAACTATTAACTGAAGATTTATGAGGGTTTGGTATGCTGGCATAAAAGTTTATGACATTGAGTAGGTTCAAATTTTGACCGTGTAAAAGCTATGAAGTGATACATTGTTGCTCAACTACTCAATTTCATCAGATGATTGTCTACGTCTAAAGTTTATTATACATCCTAGCACTAAAACTACGGCGAGTAAATTAATCGTCTATTGTTTTGCTAGCTTTAATTATATTGTCTTTTTATTTGTTTGCTTTATAAACAATTGTTGCTCTTTCATTCAATCGTCTCCTGCTTGTCAGTTCTCAATTTTTATGTTGTTAAAATAAATAAAACATCAAATGAGTAAGCTATCACGGAGAATTCTGTTTTAACTTGTATTCTTATATTTTTATAACTCAGACTAAAGGAGTACACTGAATTATCCATTAGTAAACTGAGAGACGTATTCCATTAATGCCTTAAGTGTTTTTATATTTTGAAATATTGTATACGTTTTGACATATATTCGATTTTTGTTTAGTAACCCGAGATCTGACTTTACGTAGATCGTTTTCTGCTTGTTATTGAAATATACATGTAGCCAATTCTCGTATATAATCATTGACCTAAATCGCGTTAGTAAATAACGGACTTAAATAAATCAAATACGAGGATGAATTTTTGAATACGAACATTTTGTACAATTGTTGATCGGCACAAACAATCAGATAAACGCAGCAAAGGAAACAAATAGAAGAAGGCTTGTGAGTCAACTCGTGCTTTAAATTCTAAAGACTCATGACTAATATCAATCACCTGTTGTTTTTAGCTATGAAGTCAATTGTATATATTATAGCTAGAATTTACAAAGAGTATAAGACTATGTATTTAAAATCGCCAGGCTACAAAAGCCACAAGTAATTTCATTTATTTATTCTTTATCACAATGAAGGTACTATTATCCTTTGTTTCTGCCCCTAACTTATCCTCGGTTATTTAGTCTCAAGCTCTTACTATCGTCACCTTTATATAATGCAATAGTATTACGCTTTTGTCATGCGTTTCAAAGTATTGCGTCTTTGCCCTATCCTGTATAGCATTCGAATATTAAATAGTATATCACAAGCGTCCTTTAGTATGACAATTATGTCAAGTATAAATTCTTGGTACTTATGTAAAAATTGAGTAGAACTCTGAGTTTAAAACAAATAAACATAAACTTGTTGTTGAAAACTAAAATAACTATACTTGAGTGGAAACTGACAACGAGAAAAGTTTTTGACAGCATCATGAATAAAAAGTAGATATTTACAAGTTTCCCAGATCAATCAATTTTAGTTTTACTTACCTGTTTTAAGTGTGTTGTAAGTGGCAATGAAGTTATTTATAACGTAATATGTGAATGAAGTTAAAACATTCTCCAAGAAAATTATGAGTGTTCTTTTTTTTCAAGTTCAAATTGAGATGGTGGAAGATCACATCAAGAAATGATGGGGCAAAGTTTCATCCAGGTGAAAGTGTGGCAACTTATGAGGAATTCGAACAAGACGATCGGATGCATAGTAAGTTAGTTTGTTAGTTTAAAGAACGGAAATCATGATTGGCCTGACTTTAGTGATCATTCTACTTAATGTTAAACGTTGGTTAATGCTATACTGGATTTTATGTTAATAAATCAGGGAACTATAAAAAGATATACTAGAGTTCACCAAGATTAAACCAATTTGTTTCTTAGGATAGCACTGTTTAGGGTGATTTAACAATAAGAAATGAAATGATGAAATTCTTAGATTAAAACCGAAACTAGTTTAAGAGCTAATCGTAAAAACTATGTCTATATCTACCGCTAATTTTTTTATTTTTCCTAGATGAAATACTCAGGGTTATGGGCCATAAAACACTGGACTACTGTCTGAACATATGTGCTGGGAAGCTGGATTATTTAGTCAGAATACCGAACAAAATTCTTGCGAAGATACTTTTTTATCTAAATCTGGAGGATGTTATCAATTTAGGGACTACATCAAAACGCTTTAATGAGGTGATGGTTTTGTCTTTACCGTTTGAGTTATTGTTTATTCAAAGATTTGTAATAGCGATTCATTATGGCGTGAGATCTATGTTAACACAACACTAAGTCAGCCAAGTAGACCTGTTGAAGAGTTAGCAAAATTATTCGGATGGAAAAAGCTTCTATTCACAAGCAAATTACACCTTCAGGTAAAATGAATTAAAGATGTTTGAAATTATATCACAACTATGGTTATTAACAGATGCAGTTACGTCGCTTAACTTTGGAAGAAAGTGACGACAATGAAAATATACGAACAAATGTTTCCCATGATCCTGAATTGTATTTAGGTAAATTATTTGTGTTAATGTCCACATGTATCTTATTAATTATAGTTGACTATGTTTCATGCGACTAATTTATTGAAGCTTGTTAAGTCGCAGATGGTGCTTTATGCAAAGAGGTTTTTACTAGTATAGAGAGTTGTGAAAACATTTCAACTTAGAGATAGTCTCTATCATGTAGTAGTTTAAGTTAGGTAATCACTAGACTCCAGGAAAATACAAAGATGAATTTCAAGTTGAACAATAACTTTAAGTTTCATGTTCATAATATATATATATATATAAAGAACGTTTTGGCATCTCCCCCTGAGAATGTAGAATTTGCTCCTGGGACAATTGATAAGGTATTGAATTTACCAATCAGATGAATTATATACCTTAATCACTGACATTATAAATGAATCACCGGTAAACCCGACCGATGCTGCTACCTTGACGTGGTGGTTGAGCTTGTCTATAGAGATGACCTGATGGTGTTTTACTGGCTGAAACAATCATTCCTCAAGGTCCTACCATGCTAGACAGGTCATTTGAAGAGCAGTAAGACTAAAAGCATCAAACTCAAGGTCTGAGGGCGGAGTCGTACTGCTGACTGTACAGAGGTGTGACTGCAGTAAGATGTTTCACACCAGACAACCAGCATAACGGCGATACTGCCTTCCCACAAAGTGGGCGTGCGTGGTTATAAGAGGTCGACCTTAAAAATGCGTACCCCAAGGTTATCCGTATCCTGCAGCAAAGTCTCAACAAGTACGTAGCTAACATGAAAATTCAATCAGTCAGTCAGCTACAACAAAGGGCCAGACACATTTATGCATCCGTCTAAGTTGCCACACCTAATTAGCACAACAAGATGATCACTAAATTTATAGAAGTAGTTAATTCAACGGTAGTGATATATAAAGGAAAGATTGTGTATAAGGATGTAATACAGGGAGAAAGAATTAGTTCGTAGAAAGAAAAGTATAAAGTAATTGTAATCCCACGGTTTAAGGGAATACAAAGTTTATACATCTAAGCCATTGTGATTGATTCTGAGCCACATCACACAGAGTTTCCAATGATTGGTTGCGATAGTCACGCGGATCCCATCCATTAGTCTGTATCTACCAACATGGCTCAGACTAAAAGTTGGTGACTTCAAGTACTGATGCCACGTTTTTGTTTGGCCACCCCTAACACTCTTCTAACCATCCCCAACACTAATCAGCTTTTCGCGTCGTGGTAATCGATGTTCAGGAATACACAACACGTGTCCCAACAACCTCAGTCGGTGGAGATTCACAACCTCATCAACTGATTTACCACTATTCCCTAATACCCTACGTCTAACCTCATTATTACTTACCCGGTGGTCCCAGCAGATGTGAGCAATGTTTCTAAGGCATCTGTGATCAAATACTGGTAGCTTACGAATATTTTCTACTTCTAGTGACTACGATTCGCAATCGTAAAGTAAAACAGAACGAACTGCAGCACAGCATACTCATCCTTTAATTGATAGATGGATATCTCACCTTCGCCATTGGTGATGTATGTTGGCAAAAGTCAAACGAGATTTTTGAATTTGTGCAGAGGTTTTGCCAGCCACTAACCCATTAGGGCTGATCAGACTTCCAAGATAAGTGAAGTTGTCGATGCGTTCGACTACTCCACTCCCCATCCTTAGTTCAGGTGTTAACGAAGGCTACAAGAAGTTCATATGTGACAGGTCCCAATCAGTTGTTCTTTGGGCACCACAGTCACGTTCTCGGGTCACTAAGATCAACTCTAACTCAGTCTCACTTTCAGATACCCTTAGAAGAATCCTTCTACAGTATGGGCAACCGGGAAATAAAAACCGCCTTCACACCTCCGACAGCACTCAAGACCACTGTATTCATAATCAATTTCCTTCTTCAATTCCTATTATTCCTCCTTCCTCGACTAACAACACCATACTTCCTCCGATGTATAAACGTGCCTGGTCCTATGTTGTAGGTGACTGACTGATAGCCGGTTATTGAAGATCACAGAACTTTCAAGCCACTTTTCTTCGCGGCTTATTTAATTTCGAATTTAACTGCCGAACATCTTTCTGAGAAATTAAAAGTGGAGATAAACGTTAGCAACTTACAATTAGTTATAACAGTAACACATTGGAAACCAAATAAACATTTACTGTGACATTCTGATGCGTTTAAAGTATTTGTTGTTAGACTTAGAAATCGGTTTTTCGATTCCCTATTCAAGCGTTTATTTTATAGGTTCAGAGAAACTTCCTACAGAACCATTACGTCGTCCGTTAATCTATCCAAATCGAAGTTGTATGTTAATTCGTTGTTTATGAACCTTGTTAAAAAACCTGACAATCTAAATAGCTGTAAGACAAACTAAGCTTTCATCGGAATTTGTTATGATAATGTATGGTTTTCATGTGGCTGATGAATTGTTTCCCACATATCGATAATTGTCTAATCATCTTGAATGTTCCACTTCATATGATGAAACATTGATTACACGGCAAACCTACTTCATTCTTCATCCTAATATTAAATAAAACGGATTTTTTTCAGAACTAATGGACAAAATCCTCTGATGTTTGTTCATTAATGATTTTATTCGTCTATGAACCGTTTCACTATCTATTAACTTGCTTGTAAAAGTTGTATAATAATTGGATAATGATAAGTGAACGGCACTTCATCATTTTAGCAGAAACATCAATAATGGACTGTCATTTTTCACGACCTGAGCGAATATCATAAAAATAATATTTACTAAACCTAATATGCATAATAATGTGTTAATTCATGCAGATTATCGAATAGGATATGCAAGGATTTACGATATAATCTTAGGTTTTACCCAAAACAGTTTGTCGGTTTGGTTTGGTTTAGGTCAAAGTCAAACTATTCCTGTGTGTAAGATTGAACAGTAACAATCTTCTAGTTAGTATTTTTATGCCGGTCTTGGTCCTCATACTGTTGTATTATTCAAGGCTTTTAATTAAACTTGTAAACGTTTTATTTAAATATTCGTTTCACTTATGAACCTAATTGTAATTTATCTTGTATATAAATTTTCCAGATGAATTGAAATATGATGAGCATAAACCTGTGCACGAGAATATTCACTGAATAGAAAACTGCATGTTACTTCAAAAAATATATGTAATATAAACATAAACAGTTGGTTAAATTGCTTCATATATAAATACAGTTCAAAAGAAGACTATTATTCAAAGTATTTTGTTAGCAAGCACTTGTTTATTAGTATTCAGTATGCTGTTCTAGTTATGCAATATTTGAAAAAATTGAAAAAAATTTATAACACTAGGAGGAAAGTACCGTGGTAGATATTAGGCATGTAATATTGTGTACATTTTGTCCAAAAAGTTGTAGAAATGAATTAGTTAACAGAATCAACTTTGTATTCTAATACTTCTTAAAGATGGTGTTAATAGGTTAGTAGTACAGGACATTTTTTAAATCAATCATTCAGTATAGTTTTAGATGAATAATGTGTTTCTTAAGCAATTTCAAAAAAATGTTTCTTTATCGTAATTTAATTTTAAGTAACATAAATTTTGGAGACAGAATATCTGCATTATTCGGCATTTGCTGCTGTTCACTATTCTTTTCAATACCTAAAACTTTAGCTTAACATAAGCTTTGTTGCGTTTACTATTCAGTGAGTCGTAACCAGTGTTCTCAGTTATAATCTATCGATTCAGTAACAATATATTCCTTAGTTTAAGTAACTGGATTTTGTAGTACACTGTGGTTTGTGTCTGGCTATTGTAGGTAATCAGGAGGAAGCTTTAAATATGGTGTTTATGTTAGGACGTGAAGATACAAAATGCTTATTCCTGTCAAAATAGTTTGGTTATGGTAAAACTGAGTGTTACAGATTCGAATCCTACGGGGAGCAATAGTTCACTAAAGATTTGAGTATGCCATACTGACTAGTCCAACTACAACAAAGTCTAGATATAAGAATTATTCAATCAATGAATATGAGCTCTGCTAACTAACACTTTTGAGAAGTAACCACATTACAACAAACTTGTATGCATATAAGATCTGGAAGAATAGCTGACATATCACATACTGTCAAAGTGTTTAAATTAACTTCTTTTATAATCAGCTAATTAAAACATTTCCAAAATACTGAGTAATACTACTGTTAGATCAAAAGTGGATATGGTCATGACTGAAATCCTATTGCTTTTTTTATTAAATTAACTTCTAGTAGGTAAACTGAAAATATGAAGTCCATTTATTCATCGTTTGAGTTATTACTAGTGCATATATAAATGGGAGTTGATCAATCAGTACGTCACGTTATTTCGTGCTAAATTTATTATTTTATTTTCTGAATTTGTGAATTCCCTATCCAGCATCTCGTTTTTAACTGACACGATTAGAAAATACCTACGTTTTTTAGGAAGCGTTTTACTTGACTCGATGGCATAACGTATCTACTCATTATTGTTTAATAAAGTGTCGGCTTAATGATTAACTAAACATTTGTGGGTGGCAATGATATTACATGCCTTAATTATCAGATATCCATAATATCTTAAATAATGATGCTTCTTCTGAAGTCGCGGCGTCTTTGAACTATGGGGTGGGGAGAAATAAAAAAAATTATAATACAAATATACAATAGGCATTAATTACTCGTGATTCTTTTCAAGCCGTATCTGAAGTGTAATTTTTTTCATGGCTTGTGTATTTCAATGAATTCAGTCGGCAAAAATAAAGTTTATTGAAAATAAAAGAGATCAAATAACACAGTTACGTTAGTGATAGAGAAATTACAAAATGAAACAAACAAACAAACAAAAACCTTCATGATTTTGGTAATTGAGTGTTTCTACATTAAAACATTTGAAATAATCAGTGCTGGGTTCAAGTTTTCGAGAAGATATTAGTAAAAAAAATTGTTGTATGATTTCGATTGATCAGTTATTAACGCTCATCTACAATTCCAATGATCAACATTATAAAACAAACAAACAAACGAAAACTTAGAAACCCTTGTAGACTGCTTACAAACCAAATATTATTCATATTAAAATAATTTCATTAAAACATTCAACATATCTTCTGGTAATCATAAAAATATGTCACCTAGTAAATGGGTAGAAATAATATAGAATTTAATAGTTAGTGATAAATATCTTTTTCATTAAATACTCATATTGGGATTGTTAACTAATAAACAATCGTAACAGATGCAAACATTCACTATTTTTAACATATAACATTATCAAACTTGCCTTATTTTTGACCTTAGTAAAATATTATAATTATGGACTTATAACAGTAGAGCCTGTTGATGAAATTATTGAAAACAATTATTCACTCAAATATTCTTTTTTTTTTGATAAACATGGATTTATCAACAACAACAACAAAAAGTTCTTTAAAAAATAAACAAAGTTATGAAGTTGATTCCTTATTACATTTAACAAGTGATTAATATCTATATGTAGGTAACACAATTTCTTATTATGTTTATTAAAACAATATGACGTGTTAATTGGTTGATAATATAAGAAAAACAAATTACTGTTGAAAAAGAAGTATAGAACAATAAACAATAGGATATTGATCATTCAGCAAATAAAAATTTGTTTAGAATGCTTTCAATTCATTCAAACAAATGTATATGCATAAATATATGATGAAAATGCGGACGAAATCTTAGGTAGTTTTAAATGAGATTTGTTTAAATGTTACGTATTATTGTTGTAAACAAATAAACAAACAGGAAGTGAATAATAAATGAATAATAATAATAATAAACAATAAATAATACATTTAGTAAAATGATAATTAAATAAAGAAGAAATTAGATTTCTCTTATGAATATACATGTTGATGAGCATGATCTTCTAATATCTAAATTTGTGACAGGAAAAAAAGCAATAAAATGAGATTAAGGAAAAAAACGTTACCTAGTAATTAGGTGATGAGTGAAATTTCAAAAATAAAAAATAAACTAAAGATTGTATAATAATGAAGAAAACGTAATGTTGATCAGTCTAATTATTGATATTATTCAGCACTGAATAACTTCAAAACAGCTATTCTATTGCAAAGGTGGTCAGGTTTATTTATCACGATTGCTCAGTCGAGCTATATTGGATGAAAACGTGGTTCTTGAGAATTTACCATACAAAGCATGTTGGTTTTAAAACGGTAAGAACTCAAGCGGAAACTTAAGGTATGAGAACAAAGTGATTCTACTCGATTTTATAGGACTATGATGGCAGTAAGCTGTTGCTCTTAGAGGATGATATCTTTTCACAACAGATTGAAAATTAGAAAAGGTCAGCTCTAAGAATAGAACACTTCACTCTGCCCTATGAATTTCTGTCTCCAGTAATAAGTACACGGCTAAAACGCAGGAAACTAATCACTAAAATGCCATATGTGACTGACCTCAAGAAGTCATCCTTTTCTTCCTAAAATCACGCGCTAAGATCATCAGGACCACTACTAATCCAGTTTCATGAACAGGCATCTTTCTACAGTGTGTGTAATCAAATAGCTATAACTCCATCTTATACATCTAACAGCACACGAGATCACCTTGATTTATTGATTACTCACTATTAATCTACAGATTTTGTATATTATTAGTATAGGGTTGTGGCGATTGTTGAGTTTTACTGAAATCATGAGCAGATCAAAGTTAGACCACCATTTACTGCTTTCAGGTTTTCAATAATAGTTTAGCATTGATTAGTTTATGATTTCAATGAGATTTTGTAGATATTAAAACTATAATTGTATGCACTATCTGAATAAATATCAAAATGTAGCTACTTTTTTTTTTAAAAACTATGACATGATAACAAAGTTTTCAGTGCAAAATTAGTCAGTTTCTCGAACTACCATCTTTTCTGATTACAAGTAATATAAACCAATTATAAGATTGAACACAAAACAATATTGAAAGTCCTTTGTTTTCTAACTCAGATTATCTTATTTGCTCTGAATAAAATAACAGAAATATTTGAAGAGAAGAATAAGAGTTAGTGAGAATGGTTGTTTACATTTATTTGAGTAATATAGGCATATTTTTTCTAAAAAAATGTCAGTTTCCAAGATAATTCATAATGATAACTAAGACTATATTTTACTACTGAAACTATAATTTTTATATTTCGTAAAGAAATGTAAATACTACACACTTAAACTGGTGTACTCACAACCAGCCTTCCTAAATATTTAATCGGTTGATAATGAGTTGTGATGTAAATCACTTTGAAATGTTGATATATTTCTATAATATAAAGCTAAATATGACATGAATATTTACACTTTAGAAGTTTCTAAATTCTCAAAATTAATGCATCTATCTATTTGTTCTAAGATTTTAAAAAAAGATAAACTCATTGCTTTATTCCAAATATACATAAAAAATCATACCTCTTTATTAAATTGTGAACAATTCAACGGAAGATATAGATCACATGAAGCCCAATTACATCGAAATTCATCGGTTGATTCGCCTAAATAATGATCTTGTACAACATGATTCACTAATTCATTTTTATTGATAAAACCAAGAGAACAAAATTCAACCTAATGGAATAAGAAAATTTGAATTAAAAATTTTTGTGATCTATGTATCATATTTGTAATATGATGTAGGTCTATGAAGAAAAGTAATACTTTCAACTAATTTTAATGTTTTCATTACAATTATGATACATTCTAATTTTGTTGTGAATTTAATATCCGACTGACATAAAAGAAAACCAGCTTATGCTAAACAAAGATATCACGTTCTTTTTTCAGTGTGACAAGTTGCGTCACACATTCATGAATGTGGAGAACGCTTCGATAAATCTTACAATGCATAGTTTTTGCTTTTCGATTTGTTGCAATTTTTACGCTGAATTCCTGTGAATAACATGGTAATTAGTTTTTAAAATTGGCTTGTTTTTCCAAAATATAAGTGGAAGGTCCTACACAGGCTAAAAGTGTTTAAGTAAATTTTGAGTTATACTACTGATTGGTATAAGTAGTTAAAAAGCACATACATTAAATAGCTGGTTTTATTAGCAGAATAATTTAGAGTGATATTGTTTGAGTGGTGGAAAATCATGATTGATTTTAGTGCGCAGCTCATCAGAGCTTCTACTTTCTTATGATATACTGGCAGGAAAAAACTAACTAACACATTTCGTGGTATAAGCTTCTTGTACATACGTTTCAATATTAATGCTGTGATTAGATTCACTGCAAGATATTGTGCAATAGTTTAACGGACTTATACAACAATTCTTTGTTCAAAATGATGTCAACTAGTAAATCATTAACAATCCTGAAAGAAAATTAAGTAATTGGTGGAAATTCATAATCAGAGGCTTGTGCCCAATTGGTGTACAAATTTACTAAACGAAGTTATGGTTTTTTCATTAACGAATAAACCACATTGTTTACTGACGAGAAACAGATAAAAGAATATTTCCGTTTTTTTACTGTGGAGGTATTGAACGTATTTGTTGCTCTGATCAACAAACTAATTTTTTTATAAACGAAATGTTTTTTTAACATTAATTGGTAGCATCTTTAACACAGATCAGGATTTTGTGTAACCCACAACTCTTCAATATACATTTATTCAACTAACTGTACACTTAAAATAGACTGAAAAAGAGGAGGAGTAAACGGATTTAGGATTTACATTTCATGTCACAATCATGCTCTATAGGCTTAAGTGGATCGATATGAATCAATCGTATTCAGCTTGTAAATATCATGCAGTTTTTTATCTGTTCGATTCATAACTGATGATCTTTGTTTGAAACTTATTCTATCCTAAAACAGCGTACTAAATAATGTTTGAATGAAACAACTGAAAAGGTATACAGTATCACCATAAAACAATAGATTTTTTCAAATAACTGAGACTTACCATACAACTGAAACAAGATTCAGGGACATGTGTTATATGAATTTCACCATTTTCTAACGCTGTTGCAATCTAAAGTAACAAACAATGTCAGATGTACCACAACATTAAACTACGTGTCATACAATTGTTGTTATGATAGTGGATCGTAATAGTGATTTTCACTAAAAGTAGCAATCGTAAATTTAGAAGTTTATAATTTGTTTTGATTAAATCTTTCAGTATAAGCACTTGATTTCAAAATGTACAATTGGTTTGTGTTGGAAGATAATGCCTTAGAATGAAATACGTTTGTTTTCAGTCCCCCCCCCCGAATATTATCTGTGATATAATTAATGGGATCTATTAATCAATAATATGATTGGGGAAATTGTTTATTCAAACATTTTGGAATACGTATACTAACTAAAATGTAGGGGAATAAACGTTGGTTAGTGAAAATAAAAGAATATGGTCAGCGTTCTAGAACATGGTTTACTTATACATAACACTGATATTTGTGCTTAGTGGACGTGGGTTTTTCAATCATAGGGGTCTATATGCAGTGTTATTGAAACGCCAGTTGAGTTACTCTTATTTTCAACAAAAACTTAAAATAAATTAGATTTATATTCACTAGCACATGAAGGTGTGATTAAGTCATTGAAGATATATGTTTCTAAACCTATTGATTATTACTTTTAGTTTGCTTGATTTGAGAAATGTTGAATTATGATAATAAATGATTAGCTACCATGGAATTGTTAGGTGAAGTTTTTTTAAAAATCATACATGGAATTTCATGTACCAATGGAATTTCATCATAATAACTAAAAATTAATCGCGTCTATCAACTGATTTTCTAGGAAAAAGCGAATTAAAAATCAATCACACATGTGATATGACAACGATATTAAGGTTAGATTTTTGATGAGTAAATTACTATTACTGTCATACAATAAACATCATTGAATAAATGTGTGTAACGATTATTAACAAACAATTTCTCCTCTCATTTAAGAAGCAAACTTCACAAGGAAGTGTTGCCTGTCACTGAGTATAATTTCACGTTTCTATAAATTATCGGGATTATCAACCCTATTAAGCCAGTAATTTTTGACAAACAATTAGAATCTTTTGTAAAGACTCCGAAAAACATAGTCCTTCAACATTTTGTGTGCAAAAAAGCGGAAAAAACTGTAGACAAATGCCTTAGCCATTGGTGTTAATCACTGAATTTCTCATGTGGTTAAAAGTTACCATAAATGCAGTTATGCTAGATTTATGAATGCGAGGAAAAAGTTAGTTTAGATATTTCATTTCCTTCAGGCATGCATCACTTTTGTATAAGTGACCAGTTTTTCATTCAGTAGCAGGAATAGCAGACATATCTTTGTTGATAATTGTTCCAAAAATTATGAATTTTTATGCACTAACAACACTGCAAAATCTATAGATTTGATCAGTTGACTTGACGCAGACCCAAGGTCAATAAGAATTTGAGTGGATACATATTATGAACCAGTTCTAAACGTCTTTTTGATTGAGTTAAGATGTACAATTGCTAAATGGATTTTGAGTTTATTTCAATAATAGAGTTTTCCTTTAAATTATCGTGAAATTATCAAAATTGCAACCAATTACATTTCATTATAAATGCTACTTACTAAGGTCTAGTCTCACATTTCGAACTCAGTTAAACTTGTTAAAATGAGCAAAGAATTATCAACCATCTTTTAAAAATGGTTCAATCTCCTTTCGTTGATGTTTAAGTGATAAGTTATTTTATTTATTAAGGAAGTGTGGTTGAGATAGTCTATCGATGTTGGATGAGGACAAAATCAACGTTCAATCATCATTCTTAATATTTAGTTCCAAGGTTAACTGTCCTCAATCAATATAACTATAAATTACATGAAGAGATGGATGATAAATATATATTCGAATTTTACTTTCATGGTACAAAACGCTTTCAACAGAATTCTTTTCTTTACGAAATTATTTTTGTTGATTTCTCACATGCATGTTAAAATTACTACTTAAATAAATAAGCATTTATTGTTTAGTTATTTTCAATGATATGTAGATAATCTGCCTAGATAACTAATTTGTATGTTGATCGTATATCAGTTATTTCAATATTTAAAAAAATAATACGTTGTACACAGTGTCATGCTTTAGGGGAAATGAAACATACATTGTAGGTTGATAAGACAACATAGTATGGAATATTCAACATTTTGGTGTAAAAAATGGAAGAGAAATAAAATCAAAGACAATTATTCAAAGCAGTTATCCAATTTTATTATTATATTAATGCTATTATATATATATGAAGAAATAAAATTGTTTTACTTACAATGGGTGTAATACCTAAACCCGATGAAACAGTTGTAATCTGTGAATCAGTTGATAGTACAGGGCAAACTAATAGACAACTTCTACCTTTTGTATCTAAACGACGTTGACTTTCAAATGGAGAAATTTCTAATAAACGATTTCTATTTACAGATATCCATGTACGTCTATGCTGAGATTGATTTAAATCAGCTGGTTGTGGCCATGATTTTGATAAACAATTAATTGGTTGCATAAATGTAGGTAATTTAAATTTGGATAATATATCAAATGTCTTTAAATTATTTAATTTGAAATGATGCAAACGAGGAAATAAACAAAAAAATAAAAGAAAATAGTTACAAATGATAATTTATATCACAAGGGGTTTTTTATGGGTATTATAGTAATTTTAATAGTTGAGATCATGAGTCATGAGCAATCGAAACACGGCCGTTCAGTACTTTCAGGTTTTCCATAGTGGTCTAGCTTCAATTGACTCATGATCTCAACTATCGAGATAATATACATGTTTAACATATTCTGAGATTTAATATACGTCCTACTATTACAAAACTAATTTTAACATTACGACTAGAAAAATAATTGCTTTCTTTAATCCATATCATAAGTAAATATTATTGGGTAACCATATAATAATTCATTTGATAAACCTTTAACTAAATTTTTCGATAGTAGAAATGTGATTAGAATGTGCCTAGTTGGTTCAATTGAAGTAAATGAGATGGAATTTGAGTGTGTTACCACCTTTAAACATTGAATCCTTACTTTTTTGTATTGTTTCATAATTAGATGCTCATGATGATGGAAAATAAGTTGGAAATCAATAATATCTATCACAAATAGTTTTCTACGCAAGCAAAGATGGATAGTGGCTAGCAGTGGAATCTAGGACACGTGTTTCGTCCTACCTGTGACTCGTCAGCTGGATATACCCGCATCTCCGGGTTCATGTTCACTCTGGGACTTGAACCCAGTACCAATAACTTCAAACACCACAGCGTTACCCATTTAACGACTAAGTTCTGATAGCCAGCTGCTTGTAAAATGAGAAGATGCAAGCAAACAACATTCCATGAAGATTTCTTTACATTTAGGTAAAAAAAACTTGTTTGTTTACATGAAAATAAAAAGATCAATTTTTTCTTAGGATAGAAATTTCTAAGAGTAAATCAATGTTTTGTAAATGAAACAGTAATGAAAATAAAAAATTAGATGATTTTTCTTAGAAAAACAATCGGAATAGTATATTTTTAATCTATAGACAGTTCAATAGAAATATGTGCATTTGTTGTTTAATTCACTAGAAAGGCAAACAAAAACTATACAACAGATAATTTGAATTTTTTAATCTATTTTATTATTTCATTTGTACATGTGTTATGTTGAACGAAATTACATTGAACTTGGAATTGTATATGTGATGTTGACATATAGGAGAGATATGGTAAGTTACTGTTTTACATTGATAATTTACAGAAGTATCTTAATCGAACAAAAACTTTGTCGATTAATTCTCTTGGTATATATTAAGTAGTTATGGCGATGAGTATATGAATGTTTCTCAATTGGTGATTATTAAAGAAGTCATTCAGTTACTTTAAAGCCATGGTTAATTTAAAAGTATTGTGGTGTATGGTACTTTTGTTGACAAATATAAGTAGTATTTGGCACTAATCAGAAGGTGAATGCTTGAAGGCAGAAGTTTGAGAAGATAACATGAATATAAACAGTAAGTATTTACAATAACAACAGGTATAAAGAAACGATGAAGTTTGTAAGAGAGAACTGATAGATGTGCAAGTGATGTATTGGATATATGACTTTCGTATTTTGTTAAGACACTGTAATTTTGCATTAAGCAAAAAACTGGTCTTCATCTAATTTCTTCGTTAGCTACAGTATTATTTGGAAACTTTTGACGCAATAAATCTTTATGTGAAACGATGTACTGTGTCTTTGAACTATAACACGATAGCTAAGATAATGTTATGCAACACTACGCTATATTAGCAAAACAAAGTGATGTATTTCTAGATAAATTTATTAAATGCTATAAGTCATTTTTTGTTAGGGTTGCATAAATAGAAAACTCAAGTAAATTGAGTGCTTTGTTGAGGATTCACTGTAGTAAAGGTATATCTGATTAAAAAGTTGTGGGAACATTTAAAGATGATCGTAGCTCATAAAATAAAACTATTTCTACCAGTTAGCAAAAAAATTGATTCTAACATTTTGGATCTGTAGCGTGCTTGGATTTTAAGTAAGCCAAATCACTTATTTCATTAAAGAAATATGAAGAGATTAAGAAAGCTCTTAGTTTCAGTTTCAAACCACTTTCTCCAAAAATCGTGTTAGAGAATGATACTCCTGTTAGTTCTATTATGTAAAGTCCATTTTTTAGAATTGTAGAAAGGATGATATCTTTGAATTATAGAGTTAGTATTCAATAGTTTACAAATTTAACTCCTGCCAATTTGCAATATTACACAAACATTATTAATTTTCATTAATGATATTCGTCTTACTAACAACATGATTGAAATTTACTGTTTGCATCGTCTTGATAGAAATTTGCGAATATTTGTAGATGTTATTCATGAAACTTTGTATAATGAAGAAGTCAATATGGGTTAGATTAAATAAACTATAATGTTTGCTACAAACTAACATTAATTGTGGAAGGAACCAAATGACGTTAAAGAAATATCGAAAGATAAATATTAATCTGTAGTTTGATATCATAATCTAAAACTGATTCATGACTAGTTATGCTGGTTTGTAAGATATGATAAACTGTCAGAAAACAAACCTAAACAACATCACTTAAATACAGTTTTGATTCATAGATGTTGTGTGAAATAGATAATAATAATAATAATAATAATAATAATAATAATAATAAACAATATCAATACTTACATGTAAACTAAGCCAAAATATTTCATTTGTAAAACACATACATAAACTACCAGAACATCCACTTTCAACAACTGTCATATCAATTAAATTAGAATTAGGATCATTTGATAAAATTTTATTATATGATACAGTATTACGTAAACCTTTGCTTTTACAAATCCAATTTGTTAAACGTAGAATTTTTCTTCTTGTACATTCATAAGCTGCAGTAATAAAACTAAATTCACATGGATTTATATCATTGAATGAATACATTTGTGAATTATCAATATTCGAGTTTGTTTTATTTAATTTTAATTCACCATTAGGTTGTGAACGAAAGTTGTCGTGAATGTATGTACAATATTTAAAATCTCCATGTTTTCCTTTACGTGATATCTGAGTAGAATTTTGTTTTAATGTTTCAGAAAGAAAAAGTGAACAACAGAACAACGAAAATATTTTGTATTATTCAATGACTTTTGAATTATTCACTAGTTTGATATAAGTATGTGACTAATATCACTTTTTAAAAAAATATTGAATATACAGAGAATATTGAGTGCAGGGAGTCTGTGAAATGTCATTTAATTTACTAGTAATAATTGCCAAGGTCTAACTTGGGAGGAAGACTGAATATCGATGTTATGATACTATGAGACCTCTCAGCAGTAAACACCCACTGGTCTTTTAAAGATTACACAAATCTTCATAAAACTCTTCCATCCAGAATATAATTTTATGATCACTACTGATTTACTCAGAGATAAGCTCCTGAAGTTCTAGTTGGAAGTCTAAACATAAGAACCTCACCCATATCGAGAGTAGAGTAGTCGGAGGTGGATGAGAGCTGGCACAGATTATGAGTTAATAGAATTTCAAAATATGGACTAATGGATGAAAACGATTTGAAGATTTAACGTTCACCGTAAGCCATGAATGTCGGTTAAGGAAATATCCCTTAATATATGACAAATAAATTATTTATGCAGAACGGGATCCTTTCTACTGTGTTTATCTGCTCAATGCTTATTAGCCTGATATAACATCTACACTAATCATACGACACAGTCTAACAGTTTTCATGAACTGAAGTCATGTTTTGGTTTGGTTGCACTCGTCTTCCACTTAACCGAACATATTAACTGTCAATCTATACCAGGATTGGTTGTAGCTGATAATAAATACAAAAATATCTCTGAGATTTTTAAATTAATTGGCCTTAAATTTCTTACATTTATTACTTAATGTTGCTTGTTATAGCAAATAAGTATCAAATCAACGACTGACTCATTACAACAATATTTAGGAACTATGAATATTTACAGAAAGTCTACGATTGTAGGCGTAATTAATACAAACATGTATATATGATTTATTTAAAATTAATTAATTATAAGAATGTTAATAATCAGAGAGACTGATTAATATAGAACGACATTAAATTTCTACAATTTTACTCTTATTTAATTTAAATATCAAACTCTACTTAATTTATGTTTGCTTATTTGTCAAATTTTCATTTTTAAATTCCAATTAACTTCTTATTATCAATTTGTAAATGTAATTTGATGCTTTAAAAAAAATATTGTTTAATACAACTAACGTTATATTGTTTTAGTTAGAAATATGATAAATACCAACTCAAAATTGAATCTTATCATCATATAAAAAGTAGTAAATACCCTGGAGAAACTACCTCTTAATATATATATATATATATATATAAAGAGAGAGTGGGTGAGTGATAGTTATAGTCTATCTTTAGGAGAGCGAAGCCAAGTAAAGTTAATAAAGTCCACCTATCTACTAGGGTCAAAAAGGATGATAAATTAGTTTAAAAAATCAGAATCGGGATTTAGAGTTAGAAGTTAGGGTTTTCATCACGAAACGACACTAGCTATAATGTTGAAATGTTATTTAGCCATATGGATGAATGAATTTCGCGTCAAATTTCAAGATTTGGTATCTTAAACCTGATTGGTTTATCCGTAAGTTATCGTCTCACCGATCCACAGATCGTAACTAATGGTTTGTGATCTATAAGTTATGTCATACGTCTGTTATGGAACATTTCGTGATACTTCATAAATGAAAAATATTTAGGAGAATTCCCTTTTTTGATAGGGCTGTAATTAGGTCTGGTACTTCTGAGTATCACAGACGAGTAGCATATAGCCATCTCTGTGAAATAACTGTACAAATGCTATAATTTGAAGCATCCTCCAATACCACAATTTATAATTTATAATCATAGTAGGTTCACATTGAACCAATACAGTATACGATAACACTTTGTTTCCTTTATTGAGCGATCATAGGTATTACTGAGACCACTTATACTTAACACCATTCAACAAGAGTTGATTTTATGTATATATCATTTGATGTATGGATAAAATAAAAATGTTGTAGAAGTTGACCATACCCAAAATAATCGTAACTTGTCATAAATATATATTTATATACATATATATGTAAGGAAACTCACCTCTTTAAAAATGTTTGTTCCAATTTCTAATGTTTCATCACATAATGTGGGTTCATTGAGAACTGTGTCTTTATTATTTGTTATAATTTTCCATTGAGAAATAGTTAATGAACCATATGTATCAATACTGAATATAGATTGAGGTAAATATTGATCTAGTTTACCTTGACATGGAATTAAACTAGCACAATATACTTCACATTCCAATATTGTTCTTGAAATCATATTTCGAGTCTACATATAAAAATAAAACAAGGATTTCTCTTTCTTAAATATTAAATTTGTACATTTGAGCATTATTTTTTTATCATTATTAATGTCAAGATATCCAGAAATGATTTTTAATTCTAAATAAGTTTGTGATGAAACATAATTGTGTAAATGAAGCAGTTTTTAAAAAATCTTAAGATTTATAAAATACTTAATTCCCATAGGAATAACAAAACTTAAATGTACATTACACTAAAATCATTTTCAATAACAGTTAGACGTCTAAGAAAAGATAAGTTTTATTCAGAACTCGAATTCAACCGTTATACATTCACCAAAAATCAAGAAGCAATGAACAGCTTTTTTGTTCTAGTATGGTACTTCACAGATATGATCATCCACAATCTCACAGAAGAGTGGCTCCACAAACTTCAGTCTAATTTTCAAACACTTAACCTACAGACAACTGAGTAGAAATCTGATAATGTATTTGTTCAGCTCCACTTAATTTATACTACATTATGCTGCCAACATTTTTTGCTTTGTAAAGTAATTGACTTATAACTAACACATCTGAAATTTACTGATCACGTCTTCCTGTGAGAATTCCAGAATTACCTCTCGAAGTTATTTACTAGTGAGAGCCTGATAATTATCAGTACAGAGGTTCGTGGAGATTACTGAATATTACTGATGAGCAGTACTTTTAGGTTTTTAATGAATATCAGTTCGTAATATCAATAAAATTCAATAATCTCCTCAAACATTTATAAAGAAGATGGATTTTAGAAGAATTTAATTTTAATTAGATTGCTAACAAAAATAAACCATTGATCTTAACTTAGTAATCATCGATCACGTGTATTAAGTTCGTTAACATTTAATGACAAACTGTTAATTAACATCTTTTACGGTTTATACAATTTTTCAATGGATTGATTTGATTTGTAGTATATTTGTAATACTAAATAAGATATCATTGTGTGCAAATTTATTTTTACAGTCACATGTTAAGTTAAACATGATGTAATTAACGAATAAACTTTTCGGATCTGAGAATATGAGATCATTATAATTAATGGGTGTAAAATGTGAATTTTAAAACTACAAATTTAGAGAGATTAATATGATTTATTTATTTATTACAATAATAATATATTAGTTCCATAAATGATGAAATAGGTATGTTAAATTAAGATAAGATTGCTAAAATAACTAGGGGAGTCTAACAACGTCGGGTGGGATGAAGGCGAAATATAGTCATGAGATGTCATAGAGTGATTTGAATGAAAACTGTAAACTACTGAATTCCGCCACAGATGTGTGACAAATTCTCTATGTTGTATCTAAAGGTTCCAGGTTTCATTTTCAATAGATTCATTGGTGTACACTGTAGTGAAGAATTCTGTACTAAAAGGAAACAACTTTTTAATACTTCCTGGTTTTCAGTGGATGTTTAACTAAGATTGGTCCATTATGTAAATTTTGAAATTCAATTCTTACAAAGCCTTAATACAATGAAAAAATACCATCTGATGTTTTGCCGAGGAAACGTATTACCACTTCGAAATTATCCACCTATTAGACATGAATGGAGAAAAGTTTATAAATACATTTAGCGCCTAAAATGATCATATTTACAGATGAATGAAACTAGATGATGATCGATACCATTTAGTCAAAATATATTTGATTAGGGAATTTTAAATACTGTATTAGAAATAAAATTTGAACCTTACCATTCTTCATTAATGTAAATAAACTCCAAGTACATATTATTGACAATAACTTTATTGTTTTCGCCTTAATTACTTACGCATATCCCACTTTTTAATATATCATTCGCAATTGTTCATTCATTAAATGATTATGTTCAGAAAGGAATTTTGTGGATATTCTAGTAATTTAATAGATGAATTCATGAGTCGATTAAAGCTAGACTACCATGGAAAACTTGGGAGCAATCGACGGCCATTTCGTTCTAGTATGGAACTTCTCAGCAATGCGCATCCACGATCCCGCCTCACGAGCGCCTAACTACTAGATCACTGAGCCGGCATCTAACGGTGTTACTGTCTAATTTCAACCAATCAATGAAAATGAGAATTTGTAACAAATAAACTTATACTATATCTTACATGAAATCTAGTATTTAAATAAAACTTTAATAATGTTTAAACTATTAGTATCATACATTTTACTATCAAAATTTTCCTTTAAATTCCAATTTACAAAATATTTCATTAAATAATATTGTTTAATAATCACTATTTAATATTATTTATTGACAAAATTCTATGACAATAAATGGACCTCTCTTTTCTCATAGAAACCCCAATTCAATATAATCCTGTGTAGGTATGTGTTCATTTATCGATAGACATTGTTCTTTTCATTAATGTTATAAATTTATTACAAAACAATACAGTAAAAAAAAAGATTTTTTTTGAAGAAAAAAAATAGTATTTTCAACTTACAGCTATGTTATATAGTGTTAAAATTCCATTCTTTTGAACAACACATAGAAATCCAACATGTGCTTTTGAATTATCAGAATATTCTAATGGATTCAATGAGAACAGATGTAATACAGGACTCGTTGATGAAATAGCATGATTCATAAATTCTGTTAAACAACTATGGGTCTATAAAATTTAAATATTTTTTTAGAAAAGAAATAAGAAATAAACGAGTTGTCTGTTTTGTGTATAAAGAAAATTTGTATTTTTTTCAGTCATTTTATAAGTTTGGAATTGGTTTAATGTAACTTTGTTGTTTACATAAAAGAGTTTATTTGTTCATCAGCAGGACAAGTGTTTCGTTTTATCTGGGACTAGTTAGTCGGAAGTACTTCCAACCTACTGTTGCAATTCACATCAGGACTCGAATTCAGTAACATCAGCTTAAAACACTCAATCTGTTATTCATTAAACCACTGAGTCTATATATCCAATAACTTGTTCAATGAGTATAATGTTAAGATTAGTATTATTAAGGATTTAAGTTATCTCATTATTGATATTAAGAAGTATTCTTGATGATTCTTTATTGGAATATGGGCATCCTCTGAAGATTGCCTTGGTATAGACATCTATGTCATATGTTATTGGCATTGATAATCGCAAAATATTTACAACTTCATTCTAATTCAACAATTATTAGTTACCAAAATGTTATTTGTTGGTTTATAATGAAGAAACTATTTTGTTTTTATTGAATGCTGATGAAACAAGCTACCTGTTTCTGAAAATAAAATGTCTAAAAGGTAGTCTGACAGTCATAACCTTGAACAGTGATAGTTAAATGCTTAAAAAATATAGACTTATGCATTAACTTTATATATTCTGTATCTAGACCAGAAAATTAGAACAGAATTACCGGTGAATTCTCAGTGAAATGATAATAATAATAATAATAATTTTTTTCAGTGTTTATTTACTAAATACACTTATTTTACAAAAAGATCTTAAATAGACTAAATCACTTCATTACTCTTATTTTCAGAAAAGAACCCTTGAATAATATTAATTTCAATATTTCATCAAAACAACCTGTTACGTACGAAACTCATACTTGTAAATTAAGTACATTTACTGACTAATGACATGTTTGGCAATTAGTTTGAGATGAACCTGATAAATTCATGAAGATAAAATGTGATCTATGGACCCAGTAGAGTTGGCATTGAGTTAGTTATCCTCCAACTGTTTTGATATAGTTCTCAGTTGTAGGCGCAGACTACTAAAGAGTCCTGGGCTATAATGAAACTGTTCTTCAATGCTCTTTGGTTTTCGATGACTCTCAGTATAATGTCGGAGTTAGTCAACAGTAGGGACGATATTTTTATTAGTATGACAGTTTTATACAAATTATTCGACTTATGATTTATATCAAGAACTAAAACATTGATTTATACCTAGCGGAATTGCAGATACATGTTACTGAGGAGACTGAAACAGCTAGCTAGAGTTTCGTGCTTGACGTAAACTACAGGGAAAAAATGGAATAAAATTAGACTTTTATTTATTCATACACACAAACCATATTTTAATAATGATTTATTGACACTTAATTTGTTATTTTTACTTTGAATTTCCTGAACAAAATTAAATTTTGACCTTTTTTAAACAAAAGTTTATTTAAAGCAATTAATCCTTTTGATGAATTTCAACAATGTAATAAGAAGACAAAGATTCTTAGAACTATGTGATATATTAGCGCAATACATTTCGAACAATCTGATCACACATAATATACTTGTTAAGAACATTTATACATAAAAATTAAAGGTCAACTAGACTGGAAATCGGGTTCAGAGGAGACAAGGATAATAGTAATAATAATAATGTGAACACAATGTGAAACCTAATCACTCTGGGTCATAAGCCAATATTACCAGGGTAGATTTAAGGGGAGAACAAACTGTTTTTGAATACACAAACGGGGTTTAAATTTTCGTATGGCTAAGGCTTTAATAAATTTTAGTATACGCATTTTTACACCTTTCTACAACACGGCAAAATCCGAGTTAAGATCAATCTTATAGCCTCTTTCGATTATATGTTTAGCAATAGAGGATGATGGATGTTTATCCTCTATTCTTACTGGGTCACTTGATCCTATTTACTTCTGCAACCATTTTGGTACATGTTCACATACCCTAATTTTAAGATCACGATTGCTCCTCCCTATGTATGTGTGACCACAAAAACATTTAAATTGGTAAACACAGTGAGATATGACACAATCATTTTCATGTCTTTTAGGTTTTGGATGAAGCATGCACCATGTTCTTTCTTTGATAATGACATTTGCTGCGCAATACGTTTTGTTGATGACAGATTTAAGTCTTTTTTATTTGAATCACCTTGAAATGTAATGCGCTAATACATCACGAAAAGTTTATTTTTTTTGTTGATGTTTACTCTTATACAATTCAGCTTTCTATTTCTTTTTTCGCTTATTCTCTTAACTTTATTTACTGATTTTTTCTGAAGAGTTTTGTGATGAATTACCAGGAAAAGATGAGCATTAGTTTAGTTTAATTTTTTTGAAAAAATAGACTTGACTGACATATTTTCGAATCCTCCTACATGTACCTACATGATTAACAACCTTAATTAGTTTACTTGTAAAGGTATGCGCACATAGATGACAAAATCTATTTTAGTTATGACTGACAGAATGAATTTAAAACATCACAGGATAATAGTTGGATAATATATTCATTTTTCTTGTTTTGAATTTTTAATGCTACTAAGTAATGAAATCTATTTGTTTGAATTTTACTGGAGATTAATCTGATTGATAATGGTGTTTCATTGTTTTACAGTAATTCCCAAAATTATACATTTATTATAGAATCAGAAGCTCATTCGTTAAAATTTTGTCATTTATAATATTACTGAATGGTTAATTATATTTGTGAGCAACATATTTACAACTGAAGAACATCTGGAACTCAAAACAATTGTCAACCAACACCAAGGTCAGGATTTTCAGTACAAATGTCAAAACAGTTCTACCATGTGGGGCGGAAACCTGGAGAACTATGAAAACCATCATCCAGAACACACAAGTGTTTATTAACAGTTGTCTACACAAAATACTTCGGATCTGTTGGAAAGATGCTGTCAGCAACAACCTACTGTGGGAGAGAACAAACCAGATCTCAGCAGAGTAAGAGATCAGGAAGAAGCACTGGAAGTGGATAGAACACACGTTGAGGAAATCACCCAACTACGTCTTAAGGCAAGTCCTCACATGGAATCCTGAAGGCCGAAGAAGGAGAGGAAGACCAAAGAACACATTACGCTGAGAAATGGAGACAGATATGAGTAAAATGAAGAAAAACTGGATAGGACTGGAAAAGAAGGCCCAGGACAGAGAGGGTAAGAGGATGCTGGTTGGCGGCCTATGCTCCATTGGGAGGAAGAGGCGTAAGTAAGTATGTAATTGTACTTGTATAATTGTCAAGTATCTTGCTGAATCTTCTATAATATTTTAAAATTTTAAGTCTAATTTTTGATTGTGAAAATTCTTTTAAAGGTTAATAAATACTCCATTAGTACTTTTGAAAGTATAAATTATGTTACAATGAATTGTTAACATGTAGTTATTTTAACGAAAAATGATTATTTTAATTCTTAAAATTGTCTGTTAAATAAACATGTTCAGATCTCAAATAGACGAGGTAAAATTTCGTTTGAGCCCTTTACTCCTCAAAATTCGTGCAAATGATCTACAATTAATGACAAGGTAATCCATCTTACTGTTTACCGATAATGTTAAGGCTATAGAGAATTATACACAAGACATGTAATAATACAGAGGTTTGGATTAAATCAGACACCTTAGGTGAGTAGATAAATAAAAGCCTATTATAATTCAAATTTAGTAGAAGTGCTGTAACGTAATTCAGCCTTGACCATGGGAATTTCCATTATTAGATTTAACTTCATAATTCAGGTCAGCGATCATCAGGATTTACGAGTTGTATAAACAAGTCATTCATGGAGGTTTCAATTTTTGTGATTAGTTCTTGATGACTCTCAAAATTTGGATAAGAATACACTTCGGATTTTATGCCTGGGTAATGTGAGATCATAATTAATATACGTAATTCACGTAGAAGATTGAAACGTGTTCAGAGGACTGAACGTTTTGGTTTATCATATAATTAATGACTTCAATTCCTTCAAGCTTTTCAGATTGTTCTACTTTAAGTTGAAGAATAACAGTTTTAGATGTTTTGTCTATTTATTCAACTCGCAATCAAATTTTTGATAAGAAATTCTCAGAAACTTCAATATACAAGATCAAATCTCTTTTTTTTGAAGACTTGATTTTTTCAACCGAGTCGTAAGCTACTTTGCCTTAACATGTAGTATCATCAACTTTTGTTGAAGGCAAGAATGAAACTCGGTAGTATATCTGTTCTTAAGAACGTTTGTGACCGTGTGTTTTAGGAGTTTTTGTAATTAGAAAGGATTTATTAACTCAAATGAGTGAGAGATCGGGTTACTAACCTGACAAGGTAAGCTGTTTTATAAGAGATATTGCTTTTACCTTCTATGATCTTAGGTTCATTGTAAAGCTCAAATATTTGGAATAAATTTTCCCGTAATAAGTGAGAACTACTTGTTGAGAAATTCGCGAGTTCTCCAAATATTTTATCCGAACATGTTTATAACTAGATATGAATCAAGGATTATCAACCAGCATTCATTCACTGTCTTACTGTGAAAAATACCTAAGGTGAGGGATGTTAGTCTATGATCCTGAGTTATTATGAGTTGAAATGAGGTATGTTAATTAGTGATTTCAGAGAGATAATGTGGTTTGAATACTTGCATCTTATTTGATCGTTATGCGTTGATTGTCATTATTAAATAGCTGTTTTTTAATATTTTTTAAAGTCCAGTTACTAAATTCCTTTTTATTGAATAACTGTAATGGTATTTTTGCACAATTCAGAAGTAAACGTCAGTTAAAAATAAATTTACACTAAAATTGAGTAAATAACACACTGGTTAAGTGCCGTCATCTTAGAATTTATATTTACTTTTGCATGGATTATGAATTAATTTTGTTGATATATCATAAATGGAACAATGTTTGACCACCACTGAAAACCTGGAAGCACTAGACAGCCGTTTCGTCCTGGTATAGGACTCAACAGCGAATGTCCACGATCCCGCACCAAATGAACTCGAACCGAGGACCTTCGGTCTCGCGTGGACGTTTAACCTCCAGACCACTGAGCCGGCATCCAACGATGTTTATGCCTAAATTAACCAATTCACGAAATTGTGCGACCGTCCATCATTGTCTCCAGTGATTAACTGCCTCACAATAGACGCGGTTGAACTCCACTGGTCATGGTTTCTCACAAGAACTCCGGGAAATCCATTTTGAAGCCAGCCACTAGTGAGTACTGTTGAGGAGTCCCATAATAGGACAAAACGGCCGTCCAGTGCTTAAAGGTGTTCCATGGTGGTCGAACATTGTTCCATTCATGATATATCAATCTAAACTCAACAATTTCCACAACGCTTCAACTGACTCATGATTTCAATCTGTGAAATTTCTAAAAAATCTCCACAAAACCCATTCTGATAATTAAATATGTGTCTACTTTATTCATATCCCCTGGTATTCAGAGTTTGCAACTTGAGGGGAAAAATTATTGCAATTATCTGTTCTGTAAAATACAGTTAACATAAGTGAAGAACTTGTTCTCAATGTAGAAACGCTTAGCTGAATACACTTTTTATTTTTATATGTACTTCTGTATGACAACCTATTTTAAGTTGTTTCCTTTTAGAGTAAATGCCAGAAAATCAGAAAATACAGTGTCAGTAATATTTAATAAATTTAAATGAGTGTATTTTTTCTACACAGCATGGCTTACACAATTTTTAGCGAGTTTCTTGGGTTGTTGTCGCTTATTTTGTGTGTGTGTACCACGTGAAACATCAAATTATACTGAATAAGTTTTGTTTTAACAACTAATGTTTCGTTATTGACATATATATCTATTTTAATAAGGTTGATGAAATCAAACTGGAAAATATAACATATTACTATATAGCACACCTACTAAAAATGAAATTTACTGAGCATGACTGATAATTCATTAAGTGTGCTAATCGATATTTTCGATTAAAATAATATCGACATTTTGTGAAACAGTAATGATTGGACTTGTATGATCAAGACATCGAGATGCATTTATTACTTCAAATAGATCATCGACTTTGCGCAACCATCTGCAAAGTTTGTAAATAAAATTAGAAATGGTATTATATAAATTAAAAAACTCTTTACGACTTATTCTTACTTACATAACTTTGATACTATCATTGTTATCCTAATCGCATATCGTTTTGTTCAATAGGATTTTCAAGTTTTTGTATTAAATATGATTTGCTTACTCATAAAATCAGATACTTCTCACTTTAGATGACGGAAGGTCGTGGAGGTAATTTAAATTTTAAAATAAGATTTGTCGAAAAATCATTTCAGTAGAGATAATATCAAAACCCTGGGAATACTTGACAGATGTTTCATCCTGGAATGGGATTTATCAGCAATGTAGAACACCAACCTCACAGGAAACGAACCTAGAACCTTCAAGTCTTACACCACTAGGTGAAACATGGAGGTTCTAGACTCAATTGCTACTGAAGTCCGCGGACAACACTGCCGATCAGTCCCATATTAGGATGAAAGAACTATCCAACATTGCCTAGTTTTTAACGGTACCAATATCGAAATGAAATTGTAACCAATATTCCTCATTTGTCTTATAATTGTACATCTGGTCAGACTGAACTTAAATGGAAGCATCTCATTTTCTTCCTTAATTCAATAATGTTCATTTATTGCTTTTAAATTCTGTATACAGAGTTCTACATTCATTAGATTAATAACACTCCTAACTAATTTCGATTTCTATCATAATTTGGGATAAATTTACTCATTGCTTACCCATAAATCATAGACATAAACTTTCATTTCATCCGTGCATAAAGCTAACCATGTTGGTGTATTTATTCGTTCACTAATTGTGAAATTCAACACAGCATTATTGAGTGGATTACGAGAAGGACCAAATACCATATGATTAATTTCTTTATGTAAATATATTACACCACTTGGTATTATGGAATCTTTATTCACAGATGATATACCAGAGTCATTTGTTAAATCTAACTCATAATTATTCAACTGATCATCGGATGTATGCTTTATAAATTTATTCAAATCACCATTATTATTACTATTATTATTAGTCTTTATCATAGCAGTAGTGCAGTTGCTACTTATGATTCGGTTTTGTTGATTTGCAGTTCCATTCGACAATTTTAACGTAGACAAAGAGTTTGATAAAATGGAGGAATCATTGCGATCAATAATATTATTTTGTTTACATTCTCTTGATATATGTACGTTATTATAACTAGTTTCATTTTGTTCATATATCGGCCTACAAATAATTAAGAGGAAAAAATAGAATGATAAAACTTTATAGAATATCGACTACTATAAGAGTACAAAATTTCATATACCAACCTACGTAAGATGGTATGGCAGGATCGCTTCTGTTAAAATTATCAAGAAATGTTATATTTTCAGAATACATGCCAGTATAGGGCGTTGTAGAGATTATAGAATTCTCATGGATTTTAAATCACAAGCTGATATTTATATGTTCACTGGCATTTAATTTCAAGATGCAATTCACAAAGTTTTAGTGAGGATCTATGACCAATAGAACTCAATAGTATGAAGCATGAAGAAAATACCTATCAAAGACAATGAATAATTGTCGAGCACAATCTCAGACTGACTAAAACTAAGTGTGCATGTTATCGAATTCCGTCTTAGTGGTTTAGAGTTTAGGCGTTAGCGCTTACGACTGAAAGTTTTGGGGTTGATTCCGAGATGTGGAGTTATGAATGAGCACAGTTGAAGAGTTCTATATTGAAATGAAATAACCAAACAGTGATCCCAAACCTTCAATAATAGTCTAAGATCAGTTCGTTGTTCAAAACCCGTGAGAAAAAATATATATTACTTACTTCTTCACACTATTAGTATTATCAGTTGCATGAATAACTTTTAATTTATTATCATTATATTGATAATTCGTCATAGATTTATGTTTAGTTTTTATATGATTATTTGTGAAATTTGAAGTACTTGACTGGCTTGTTGAATTTGAACTATATTCGTAATCTTTTTCTTTATCCACTTCAATGTGTTTAGGCAATTTAGAAACTTGTTTTATTATACGAGGATATGATGGTAATAATTGACTAGTATCTTGTAAACAGTATTGATCATTACCATGATTAACAACACCATTAAAAGTATTTTTCTTCACATTACTATTATTATCACTGTGATCATACCATAACGATGTTGAAGCCTTATAATCAATATCCAAAATTTCTCCATCAATTGATTCAGTTGATGATTTGTTTGCATTCAATTCACTACTTTGTTTGATAAGAGGATATTTTTGAGGAGGACTCGATCTGCATTATAAACAAATTATATATATATACATCATAAGTGTTGAAATTGTACTACATAATATTGACTCAATGATTTTAATAATTAAACGTTCTATGTGAGATCTAAACGTCCTCGGTCTGATCGTTGGTGATATTATGGCTGACCATTGCTAAGGAGTTCTATACTAGAAAAAAAAGCTATCTGATGTGCCCTAGTTTTTAGATATCCCTCAACTGAGATCGATCTGTGTCATATGTATCCTGAGAATAGTTGGTTAGATTTATACTATTTTAAAGTGTTATAAAGAAGAATGTTATGAATTTTTATTAAATGACCTTATTAAAAATGTCAATTCACAAAATCATCTCTAGAGATTATCACTGTGCAATCATTCTTTTCAATTAATTTTCGCAAATGTTTTGTTTGTTTTTGTTCTAGGTGCTTATATGTTGAAACATGAATTAAAATTTATAAATTTAATACATGATTTTATTAAATTATACTACGTAGTGATGATTTGAAATACGATTAAATTTTCTAAATAATGAAGCTTGTTGTCAAAATAGTAATTTAATGCTTAAAAATCATACTACAACTTAGAGAGAAGTGTATTGTTGAAAAACTTTATACTTTTTATATTATGAGCATATTTTTGAAATGAAATGAAACAAATACTTTTGCATGCGTCCAGCCTGCCTTTTTCAACTCAAAAACATAATTTTATTATTATTACTACTGTTATTATTATTATTAGAAATTGGTCTTTCCTGATGACTGAAATAATCAATTATTCGCTCCGCAATGTGTTGTTAAAATAGCCTACTGTAATAGTCTACGTAAGTCAATGAGACAATGGATTAAACAACACATATAGTACAGCCCAAGTCGTCTTCCAGTTAAATAAAAATAAAGGAATGGAAATTTTATTCAAATTGATACCGCTTTTAAGTGACATGATACATATTCTTTTAAGAACACTGATAAACTCATTTAAAGTTATGTTAACAATAATTACGCGTTATCAATATTGATAATACAGTAAATTTTCCTTCTTAATACAGTTAGTTAGTTCTAGGCTCAAATGAAAATGTCCACGACTTTTTATATCCTTATGGGTTGTCACTTATTTTACTTAGTTCTCCATTAGGGGATATAACATTAACCCTATTGGACACCTAATACAAGTAGAATTCACCTACTCAGTTCAATTCTTATATTTTATCGTCTCACAATGCATGAATCAAACACAGAAAAGTTAAAACTATTGCTGAAATACTAAGAATATAAACAGTATATAAACGACTGCATCTTATTCCACCATGTTTATCAATTTACATGTTTTTGTGCACACACATATGCGATAGGGGACTAATCGTAATTTACAATATGAGCGGCTGAGCATCTACGAAAATAGTTACAAAAAGCCAAATCATTTAATAAAAACAGATAACAAGCACTCAACTTCTATTATTATTATTATTATTATTATTATTATTATTATTATTACTTATTATTTTCGGGTTATAAGTTTGGCGAGTGCAAAGGGAGGTGTAAAATACTGTTTATTAATTCTGGTGCGGTTGTGAATAATAAACTAAGACCGTGTTTATAAGCAAAGATGGATAGTGGCTAGCAGTGGAATCCAGGACGCGCGTTTCATCCTATTTGGGACTCGTCAGCTGGATGTACCTGCATCTCAGAGTTGATGTTCACTCTAGGACTCGAACTCAGTACCGTTCGCTTCCAACGCCATTCAAGTACATAACTGTGTGTACTGGCTTTGCGAATTCCTCACATTCAGAAAAATCTTATATTGAGACTATGAACCGATAAATGTCAGACCATTATTGAAAACCTGTAGGCTCTGGACGATGGGTGCAGGCCCAGTGATCCAGAGGTTAAGCGTTGGCCCGAGATCGAAGGTTCTGGGCCCGATTCCAACACGCAGAATCATGGGTGTGCACTGCTGAGGAGATCCACACTAGGCAGAAACGGCCGTTTGGTGCTTGCAGGTTTTCAATGGTTATCTAACATTGGTTGGTTCATGACCTTAACAAAAATTCAATAATCAACATAAAGCTATACTGATCATTTCATATATCCCACAATAATTTATTAAGTTCTTAAATACTGTATTGTAGAGGTGAAATATAAATAACACAGAAAACATAAAAATAGAAATCATTTCAAATGTCTATAACGTAAAGTGTTGTTTTGGAAATCAAAATGATTCTTTGTAATGAAGTTAATCTATTCAAAATAACTTAAAACTAGCTAACTAACTCTTATAAGAAATGTTAAATCTCCTTGTTAACTTTTATTTGAAAATTTAATCAGTCATCAAACTTCTAACATTAATATCACAAGCGTATTAAAGAGAAGTGGACAATTCACTATATTTTCTTTTTAGGTAAAAGTATAATAATAAAAACCCTGTTGTTGAAAATTCCAAAACTTTTATTGATTGCTTAAGTAATTTCTCTCTCCTACTCTTTATATATCTAAGTAAATTACACAGAATATGAATTCTTTTAATTAAAAAAAAACAAAAACTCGAACAATGAATAGTACCATTTGCTAATACATATTCAAAAATTTTTTTTTAAAAAATACCTGTTAATTTCTTCCTTATTTATATCATTTTTGTAAATACAAGGTTGTGATGCACTTTTACGTAATATAAACATTTGTGGTGGACTTTTAGATCTATTTATTGGTAGTTTTGAATCATCTCGATTTAATAAAAGTTTCTTTTTACAATCAGATTTTAAATATTTCTTTAAAGATAATCGATCAGAACTTGAATATTTATTCAATTTAGATTGTTTCAAATTTTGGTTCTCTGAAAATGTTTTTGTTAAATTTTGATTGTTTATACTGATATTATTAGAATTTATAGTAGGTTGAAGTGAATTCTTTGAATGTTGATTTGATTGAAAAGATTGATATTCTCTTGGTAAATGAATTTCAATTTCGGAAGATGTTAAATAACTTTCTTTTGATGGTGAACCACTTTTTGGTATACTTGGTTTTTTGATAATTTGTTGATTATTTAATTCAGAAAAATGATAATTATTTTTGGTTGATAATTTATGTGATGGTTTGTTAAAAACTGGTGTATAATTTGTGTAACCGTTTGACTGTGAACTTTGAATTAAACGATTCAGTAGTTCTTGTGAGTAGAGATGATCTCTAGTATAAGGTATAGTTGAATCTATGTTGAAAAATAAAAAAAATGAAACTGCTCAAGTAAGTTGTACATCAAATATCAATACAGTCATTTTAAATATTTAAGACATTTTAATTGCTGTATGATACATTATACTATTTTGATGTATTTAAACAGTTCATAGCACCACTCTATATTTGAGAACACTTTCTGATTTTCAAGGGTTTGTATTCCCCTGCCGCTGACGTTTCAAACCACAACTCATAAATTTATATTTGTATATGTGCATATTTAGGGAATTATCGTGATATGGTCGTTTAGTCATAAGTTTTTATTAAAGATGTACATAGGCAGGAAATGCTTTTCATCTTATTTAGAACTTATCATCTGGATGTACCTGACATTTCAAGGAAATCTGTTCAGTAAGTACATAACCCAATAAAGACCGATCAATTTTAACCTTTGAGATTAACGGTAAAAAATTAAAAGCTTTCTAACTCAAAATGATATCCTTCACCCAGGTCACTGGCCATTTGGAATCAGTAGTTCACTGGACAACGCGTTAGTATCAGAAGTAAAAGGTACTGAGTTTGAGTTGCTGTGAGAATATCAATACTTAGTTGGAGGTTTCCTGAAGCTGAAGCATCCCGACTAGGACGAAATGCCAGTCCCGTTTTCCACTGCTAGCCATGATCCCATTTTTTATGACAATTACTTCATATTTTAGTCCAAATTTTACACTTATTGAGAATTAATGGTGATCAGTAACGCAATATTGGATGACATTAAAATGACCGTGGTCTTTTTCCTTAGTCCTGAGAATAAATGTCAACAGTATAACCATAAATATTTTAAAAAAGTGGTTGGTTTACATCCTATCCAAATATGTGCTCAAAATGTCTAGATGCGCATATTTTTTATCCTAAATATATAAAGGTGTAGCAAGGTGAGAAAAAATCATCTTTGACTATGACCACATTCAAACTCCAGTCTGAACTACTGATGGCTAGATTGCTAGAGCTCATTGTTAATATAAAGGTAATGACTGCACAAATTATTGATATTTCTGGGTGACAAGTATGGGAAGTGCAATAGAGGAATAGGTGAAAAAAACTAGTTGTGAATTATGAATTTAAACCACAGTTATTCTAATGTTTTTTCTTATAATTAGTATATCATTAAATCTTGCACGTGTAAAACTCAATAAACATTGGTACAAGGAGGCACCAAAGAGATATGCACCACATAAATCATTCGATTTATGTGAGGGCAGTAATACTGACTGGGTGCCCAAACAGAAGCAGGTGGTTTTCCTAGGGGACCACACCCCGAGCCTTTGACCTAAAAGTCTAATCCACAAGAAAGTGGATCAACTTTAGGAGATGCAGTCCCATGGTAGCCGGTGACTAATAATTAGTTCATACGCCATTTGTTTCTTTAGGATGCTGGAGACCATGTACACCATTGGTTTGGAATCAAGGTTTTCCAACTTCCCTAGGTGTATCCTCTATATCCACCAACCCTGTTAAAGCGCCTAACTTTCGCTTTTCGTCCTCTCAATTTCGTAAACAACACCCCTGTCGCGAGAAGGCAGTGAGTAGGACTTCCCTGGTAGTGTCTACATACGCGTGTCTATGTGAGAACATTTTTAGAGGGAGAGCTGACTCTTCTCAATCTCGGCCATACCAGGGCATTTGAGGGCTATCAGCAGCTATGTTATCAAATGTTACTATATGTTATTATTAACTACCTCATATAAAACATAGTTAATAATAGAATTTAAACTGTATTCTTTCTAGTTACTTATTGTTATCATGTGAACAAGATTAATGTATAGGAAATAAATAACTTAAAGTTAATATTTGTCAATAACTTGACAGAATTTTCTTTTCCTAATGAAGTTTTTATTTCAACAGTAAAAGAACTATTTATACAGAATTTTAATAATTCAAAGTTCCTTTCTTTCTCTCATATCTGATATCAATACAACTACGTGATATTTTATTATAAATGATGATCATCTGATTGTTAGGTCATTTCTGATAAAAGTAGATTTACAATTTATTTTAAAAATAGTAATATAACACTGTATTGAACATATACCAAACCATAAAAAAACAAAACAATGTATATTTCATAGTGTAATTTGTTTAAATGTTACTTTGGTTTTTGTATATTATTTTGTTCATTTGAACACAATATGAAATATTGTGATAGATTCATTTAGTGTTCTTACATTTATTCATATGAATCTTCATAATAGTCATTGGAAGCAAATATAAATAATGAAAATAACTGATTAGTGTTATGTTTTGATTGATCTGACTAACCTTAGCTTTTTATAAACCTAATTAATTTTTATTTTCATGTTAGTGTAGACATTGATTCGGTATGTGTATTTCATGTAAACAATAATCAGAGGCATACATTAATAAATACTTGAAATTCTTAATTGTCTTCTTTTTCAACATTTGCATAGTGGCATGAGGTAGAATACTACACAGTAAACTTACTATGTGATCAGAAGTAGGACAACTTATAGTTGTTATAATTTGGCAAATCAGCAGCAAGGCTAAATCGCTCAGATAGCCAGTATAACATAGAAATCGACAAATAGGTAAAGTAGTAAAAAAAAGACTGTCACTTCAGTCTCTATTCTCAAACTAGACATCAAAACAAACAAGTTCTGGATATTTGTAGTATATGCTCATATTTTTAAACTTTAGCTGTCAAAAGTCGCCTCAACTCCTCTTACAAACAACACTACTAGGTCTAAATACTCCATGTTGTTTAGTGTAGTGTCATTCAATGAGCGATGAGTGAAGTGTTGAAACTAAACACCAACACCCCTAACAGTGGTATGTGATCATCTCTAAGATGTTCAAAGCGATCTCTCTATCTTAGAAAAGATTTTTTTCGTGTTTTTTAAAATCCCAGAGCGAAAGCAATAAGCGTTGTCAGTAACAGTATATACTGTTTGGTAACTTAGATACTTTTGCATGTTCCATTAACAAGCAAAGTCAGCTAATGACTGATTCTGAGCCATGTCATCCAAATACTGACTGCCGTTGTCAAATGGACTCTAAACATGTGGTCTGCATCCACTATCATGGCTCATATTAACAGTCTCTGATTCAATGTAGTGATAACACGTTTAGATTTGCTTATCTCTAGCTTTTTCCAACTTACTCCTAGGAAACCTAGCATCTGGATTTGAGATTGGTACTGGTCTAGCATAAACCAATCAAAAGAGAATTTCAGACACAGAAACATATAGGAAAAATTTTGTTTTAACCAGTTACTCAAAAAAGAGAATGAATTCTTGACAGATTTGGTTCGAAAATTACTAAGCCTAGTGTGATCTTTTGATTGCAACCAGGACAGATATTATGTTATCCTGTTTTTTTTAAGTCCATGCCGACCAACAACATATGATCTTAAAGGTAAAGCAGATAATATGAATCGTTAGGACGAAATATTTGTCTTAAGCGTAGTGGTTTGTCAGCAAAACCTCTTCTCTACATTAACTTAAGCACAGTAAGTACATAGGTGTGCAAAGCTTCATAAAATTGATCTGTTTTGCAGTTCAAAGAGGGTTGTTTACTGTATTTCAGTGAGTTAATAGAAGCCCTTATGACTAGAGTATACTGTGATCTATCAAATGAATATGTAAAATATTACATCCGTCTTTTAAAAACCTCATTTTCCTAAAGAAATTCTCGGAGTTAAAAGATATGATAGTGTGGCTTAGAGGAGTTGCGTGTGTAAATTGTTACATCCACACTCAAAATACAGTAAAGTTTCCAAAGCCTCACCTTAATGAAAGCAGCTAACACTACAAAATTAATTATTCATTCTGACCATTCCTCTTTCTACTTTCCTAATATTCAGGAACCTTAAACCAGTTTTTCTGGCTAGTAAACTAAATGTAGGCATCAAAATAATCCAATCTGATTAGTATATCAGTGTACCAACATTCGATCAAGAGCATTTTCAGTTTTCCTATGAATAATTCACATATTGCATCAGTTTACGTTTTAAAAACCGTAAGGTGTATGGTTGTATAAGTTATGAATATATTAAATCATAACTTACCAAAACCATTTTATCGTAAACTGTATAGTAAAACGAAGTAATAAAAGACAAAACTCAATAAAATCTCATTTCTTACTTAAATTATGTACAGGTTTTCTATCTTTTAATGTATAATTTGGTGAAATCATACGGTAATTTGAATTCAAGTTAAATGTTCCTTCATCTGCACTATTACGACTTCGTTCTTGCATTCTTGCTAAAACATTATCATTATATGCATCAATATTAAATACTTGGTTATCACCACCATCTAAATTATTTAGTCCACATTCAGCAGATTTGAAATTTTTACTTAAATAAAGTAAATCATTATGATGCTTAAATGAATTCATATTACGCATTTCAGGTGAATGAATTGGTATTGTATTAGTGTTACTTGTTGAATGCAAATGTCTTGCATTATTTATATTTTCAATAAATGGATATTGAGATTGATCATAGTTTTCTAAACAGTAATAGATATGAAATAAAGAAAGAATATGTAGATTTTTACTTGGTATATTAAATTTAAATCATTTTGAGTAAATGTATTCATTTTGAAATAAAATTACAAATATGCTTACTTTACTCAAAGTTATGTGTCAATAATATTCAACAATCTCCGCAGTTTCCTTACTGATAATCATCATGTGATTGTTTACTAGTGATTAGTTTCATGAAAGGAATTCAAGAGTTCCATAGAAAAGCTATGATCAGTGAATTTCAACCATGTAGAGCACGAGTAAGGTGTCTATTGAAGTTAAATGCTCAGAGGTTTGGAGATAAAGTGTTTACTCTAGAGACCAAATGTCCAGAGTTCGACCCCGATTGGTAGGTTCCTGGATGTGTATTGCTAAGAAGTCCCATACTATAATGAAGCAGTGATCCAAAGGTTATCTAACCGAAATGGATCCGTGAGCTCAACAACATTCAACCATTTTCACGACTTCTATACTGGTGAAAGTAAAACCAAGAAAGTAAATATCACATTAGTAAGTTGTCGATATCTGGAAATGTTTAATATGTTCATTTAACCAACCATAAATCATACATCTATGACTGGCATTATGATTAAAGGTGGAGTTACAAATCTTTGTGATTAGAACACTAGTTTTCACAGTATTTACCTTAAGATTTTTTATTAGGGTTATTTATTCGTCCGGAAATTAACAATTCGACACAAAAAGGACATTTATCAGTGTTTACAGCTAAAATGGTTTGTTTAAAACGAGTGCATGAATTACTTAGACATTGAATACCTTCTCTTAATGGTGAACTAGCTAATATGAACATCATTAATGTGAAAAGAAAACCATTTTCCTATGTAATGTTGCCCATGAATCTCAGAAAAATTAAAGTAAACCATTTTTTATATGAATAGGATCTAGAGAAATGCAAACAGTTGTTTTTACTACTAAAATGTATCCCATCATAAAATATCATCCAAACAACTTCAGGGGTGGCTCTGTGTAGTGCTAAAACCTAGTCTGTAAATAAGTTGACTAAACATTCTCTCCTCAAGATTTTCAGTCTTGTTCTATTTATTTGAAATTAGCCCTTAAACATTTGTTTATGTGTACTGTTAGATGTTGGATACAAATAAGTGTATGGAAATGAATCACTTTCAGACACAATGTATCTAATGATCATGTTGTTTATTCAAATTATCACTTCCATCACATGGTCCATATTTTAAAAAAATATCCCGTTGATATTTTAGATAGTTTTATTGCATCATTTTTATCCAATTGTTGTTTAGTTCATTACAATCGAAAGTATAACTCTAAATTTTATGAGATACATATTACTAGTATTGCATTTTAGTTACTACCAACATAAAAGACAACTTTTCATAATACTTAATGATACCCATAATTTTCACCTATAATTTAATTGATATCACTTTATAATATTAAGCAATATTGAAAAAATAAAAGTTTTACTTAGATAGAATATAACTTCACAGTAACAAGAAGATTTCGCTTCCTTCAATATAATAATTGATGTAAAAAGCTTAACAATTTTATTCGTAGACTGAATGAACACTTCATTTTTTTCAAAGAATACAACAACAACAAAGAAAAGAAATACAATAAAATAAAAGTGAATATAACTTCATCTAAACTATTACATACATAATCAAAATACTATAGAAACTTCAATTAAATAAATTAACATTTATATTTTAGTTTTTATTAATAAATAGATATTTAGTTAGATAAACAGACAAATAGAAGGTATGTACAATATTACTTAAATCAATTAAGAGCTACTGAAATGTGTAAATTATAAAATGAAAGAAACTCGTGAACTAATTCATATACATTAACAATAACAAAAACAACCCCAACGAGAAAAAAACAACACTATTTGGTTAAATGAATGTATGTATTCATGTATTTGTATGTATATATGATTAATAATGTTATTATTTATTAATTTTTTTTCATTAAAAACAAGTTGAAATACTTGTTAAGGTTTAGTTTAGATATTCTGTTATTTAAGAGAAAAAAAAGAAGAATACTTTTTGTAAATTTACATATTTTGGCAAAATGAATTCCAGAATATTCTGTTGATACACGATTTTACTATAATGTAACTCGTGATTTCACCAAAGATATTCCTGTTATTATTATTGTTAGAAATAAAATAGTCTCAATAGTTGAGATCATGAGTCAATTGAAGCTAGACCACCATGGAAAACCTGGCTTCAATTGACTCATGATCTAAACTATTGAAATTACTACAATCTTCACAAAACCCCTTCTGATAATAAAATAGTAATTTCAACGGAGAAGGGGGAAAGGTGAGCAGTATAGGTACAGAAAAAAAGAACAGTGAATATTGTTTTCCTGTTTAAATAAATACTTAAATTACTACATCATACATTATAAATATTTATTATACAAGGTTCTTTAATTTTGGTACGATATGACTAAATATTAAAGAAGTGTAAAACCAATAAATTAACAATGGATTATGGTAATAGGTTAAGATAATTAAAACAAATGTCGTTATAACAACATATATAAGCGAACAACATCGTTTTCGATTAGATCCTCATCAGGCTTTACCCTTATATACAGTAATATTTATATGCATATACGAAATTATTAGACCAATCAAGGCAGTTTATGAGACAATGATAACAGTTGAATAGACTAGATGAATAAGTGGAAAGTACAAATTGGTAGTGTGATGACAGGTGTACTAGTTGTGATGAGCATAATAAAGGCTTGAATCAGTGTTATATAACGGGAAATAGGTCAATGATTAGAAAAATATAGACACTGAAGTGACGTTCATGAAAATTATGAGATTACGTAATAAGAAGTGTTCAGATAATTAGGCCATGAAACGTATATTTGAGAAAAAACAAGATGATAGGAGGGGGTGAGGAAAAATAAACGATAAAGAGTATGGAAAATAATAATAAATAAAATCATTTATTAAGGCCAAGGGAGAGATAAAGGTGTTACAAATTTCTTATGAACACAAAGATTTAGATTGTTGGCCCGAATTCCTATAGCTGCTCTTATGTGTAAGAGACGAGGTCGAACACCATAAGGAAAACTAGTAGGAATACGATAAATAACTTGAAATGACTTATTTCTGTCTACTACATGACTGCTACCGATCAAGTGTGATAAGACCGAGCTGCGTATTGTCTTGACAGTACATTTGCTTAACCACGAAGGGAAGTGTTCACTAACACTTTGGTTCAGTTTTCTGGTAGGGCGCCCAATATAGCTTTCTCCACAAGAACAGCTGAATTCGTAGATACATATAGAGGTGGCATAACCAGGCAACTTATCCTTTAGTTGAGGAATCACCATAGATTGGGTCGAGTACGATAGATAGAGGTTAGCTGCATTAAACGTCCTCTTCACTGCTCTTGTTTCTCTATCACGTAGTACATCACCAGCTACATCTCCATTAATTTGCAGCTACAGGAAGAAAGGGTTTATGTTTATTTATGAAATCTATTCCACTGTTATCATTGACTCATAAATTGCATTGATTAGTTTAATAATTTCGTATATGTGTATAAATATTACTGTATATTAGATTAAAGCCTGATGAAAATCTAATCGAAAACAATATTGTTCAATTATGTATGTTGTTCTAAATCATAATATGGGAATTTTTCAAATTTTAAATGTCTTTATGTCATTAGGAGAATGATATAAATATATACCATCGTATACTAATAATAAATATTTTTTATAATGAACCCAGTTAATTTTTCAAAATCTAAAATTTCCATGAAAACTATTAGATTAGATTATTTTTTGAAAAATTCCTACTCGTGGCGTTTTATCAACCTATTACTTTTGAATCAAAGTATGTACTAATAGCTTTATGATTAAAAAACTTTCCAAGGTAAAAAAAAATCTAATTTCTTTCACTTATCCACTTACCGGATTTTTTAATATCGTTACATCCGTACTTAGCCATTTTCAAACAATTCAGCTATAATAAAATAAAAGCAACAAAGCATTAAATGTTTAATTACTACTTTCTTATAATACTTTCAAAGTTAAATTAACCCAAATAGGATATTGAATACGATCTCGTGCATAGTGCAAACACCTACAGTTTATCACTGCAAACCCGAAGTTCGAATTCAAAGGTGATTGATAAAGGCCTTTACTTTGTCCTGTTATTAATTTTCCCTCTTAATTAGAGTAGTTAAATGTTAATCGTTACTTATTTACGCCTCTTCCTCTCAATGTAGCATCATTCTCTAACAAACCCTGTCCTGCGCCTTCCTTTCTAGTTCTATTCAATTTTTCTTCCTTTTACTCATATCTGTCTCCATTTCTCAGCGTAATGTGTTCTTTGGTCTTCCTCTCCTTCTTCGGCACTCAGGATTTCATGTGAGGACTTGCCTTAAGACGTAGTTGGGTGATTTCCTCAACGTGTGTTCTATCCACTTCCAGTGCTTCTTCCTGATCTCTTACTCTGCTGAGATCTGGTTTGTTCTCTCCCACAGTAGGTTGTTTCTGACAGTATCTGTCCAACAGATCCGAAGTATTTTGTGTAGACAACTGTTAATAAACACTTGTATGTTCTGGATGATGGTTTTCATAGTTCTCCATGTTTCCGCCCCATATGGTAGAAATGTTCTGACATTTGTATTGAAAATTCTGACCTTGGTGTTGGTTGACAATTGTTTTGAGTTCCAAATGTTCTTCAATTGTAGATATGCTGTTCTTGCTTTTCTGATCCGAACCTTCCCATCTACAGAAGATCCACCGTGTTCATCAATGATACTACCCAAATATGTAAAGGTTTTTACATCTTCCAAATCGTCTCCGTCAATTGTCATTGGATTGGTGCATGCTGTGTTGTATCGGAGAATACTGCTTTTCCCTTTGTGTATGTTGAGACCTACTAGATCGTCCAGCTGCATCCTAGATGTCCACTGTATCCCGCGTTCCCCTTCAGGTGTTGACGTCTTCATGATCCAGTCGATCACCAAGAGAAAGAGAAAGGGTGAGAGTAAGCAACCTTGCTTGACACCGGTCTTCACTTCGAAAGAGTGTGTGAACTGTCTTCAATGCACAATTTTGCAGTTTAATCCATCATATGAATTTTGTATGATATTGACTATCTTCTGAGGCACGCCGTAGTGTCAAAGAAGCTTCCATAGTGCTGTTCTGTCTACGCTGTCAAATGCTTTTTCGTAGTCAATGAAGTTGATGTAGTATGATGAATTCCATTCAATTGATTGTTCCACAATGATCCGTAGAGTTGCGATTCGGTCTGTACACGATCTATCCTTACGGAATCCTGCCTGTTGGTCACGAAGTTGGACGTCTACGCAGCCCTTCATCCTATTTAAGAATACCCTGTTGAAGACGTTTCCCGGTATTGAGAGAAGAGTGATGCCCCTGTAGTTATCACAGTTGCTGAGATCGCCTTTCTTCGGTATTTTGATCAGGAGTCCTTCTTTCCAGTCTTTTGGTACTTGTTCCTCATCCCAAATCTTATTGAAGAGAATGTGAAGTATCCTTGCAGTTGCCGCTACGTCTACTTTTAGTGCCTCTGCTGGAATGTTGTCTGGTCCTGCTGCTTTGCCATTCTTGTTGGGTGGGTTCAGTGAAGCTGGTCGATTCAAGAGTTCTTTGAAGTGTTCTACCCACCTGTTTTGTTGCTCTTCAATGTTGGTGATTACCTCACCTTCCTTGCTTTTCACTGGTCGTTCTTATTAACGGTAATTTCCAGCTAGTTTCTTGGTTGTGTCATGTTTCCTTCTCTGGCAGCCTTTTCCGCCGTCATTGCTAAGTCCTTCACATATTTACGTTTTTCGGTTCTGATGCTCCTCTTCACTTGCATGTTTAATTCTGCGTACTCAGCTTGTGCCTTGGCTTTTTCTGCTCTTGTTCAACTGGTATTGACTGATGCTTTCTTGCTCCTCCTTTCTTGAATCTTATCCAGTGTATCAACAGTGATCCATTCCTTGTGATGGTGTTTCTTGTGACCCAGGACCTCATGACATGTTGAAGTGATTGCCTCTTTGATCCCCTTCCAGTTGCTCTCCATAGTAGTTCCCTCTCCATTGAGTAGATCATGAAAGGCCTGGAACTTGTTGCTGAGAACTATCTTGAATTTGTTGAGTTTGTTAGTATCCTGAAGAAAGGCCGTATTGAACTTTTGTGATATTGTCCGCCCCATTTTCCAGTACTTCTTGAGTTTCCATTTCATCTTGGCGACCAGCAAGTGATGATCTGATGCCATATCAGCTCCTCTCTTGGTTCTCACATCCTCTATAGTCCTCCTGAACGTTTTGTTGATGCAAATATGGTCGATTTGGTTTTGCGTGGTGTGATCTGGTGAAGTCCATGTGGTTTTGTGTATGCGTTTTTATGGGAATGTGGTGCTGCCTATGACCAGTTTATTGAAGACACATAGGTTTGCAAATCTCTCATCATTGTCGTTCCTTTCTCCCAGTCCGTGTCGTCCCATGATGTCTTCATATCCAGTGTTGTCCGTTCCAACCTCGGCATTGCAAGCTCCCATCAGAATGGTCAGGTCCTTTGTTGAGCACTTCTCGATGATTGACTGCAGCCTATTGTAGAATTGATCTTTAGCGTCTTCATTGTAGTCGATTGTAGGCGCATAGCATTGGATGACGTTCATTGTAATGCCCTCTTTCTTTGTTTTGAAGGAAGCTTTGATGATCCTTGGTCCATGAGATTCCCATCCTATAAGTGCCTTTTGTGCTTGTTTGGACGGCATCAATGCAACTCCTTGTGTGTGTGTGTGTGGCATTTTCTTCTTCATGGCCGGAGTATAACAGAAGCTACCCTGATGCTAGTCGTTGTTGTCCAACTTGCGTCCATTGAGTTTTACTGGTCCTAAGCATCTCTAGGTTTTATTTCTTCATTTTTGCAGCAATTTGGAAGACTCTCCCGGTCTCCCACATTGTACGAACATTCCACGTACCTAAATAAATGATTGTTCTGGTTGTCAGAAGGGGCATCAGCACGACCTGTAAATCAAATAGGGATGTTAACGTGGAGTATACATAATATCTCCTGGATCTTTAATAGCGATAATCGAAAGATGCATATATATATATATATATATCATACCTACACAATCAAACGTCTAAAACGTCTTTGCTTAAACTTACAAACAAAAAACTTACATCGTAAAGTTATCTAACATCACTAAATAACGGTTAAGCTTGACGGTATTTCAGCCAAAAACGATGTTTCATTTGTCAGCTATTGTCTATTACTATTTGTGATAAACTGTTTAAAAGTTGATAGTAATTGTTTAATTGAAAATCTTGGAAATATTTATAAATGACCCGGATGAACCTATTTTTGTGGGAGTATGTAAAAGACTGAAGTCTAACAGATTCTACCGGTGTTGTAAATATTAAATATAAGACGCCGAGAACTAACACCATTACTCATCATTTATGTTTACATGTTACGTTTTTGCAAACATTCTACTTGTACTAAGAAAACCCTATAGTTTTGCCTAAGAATAAACAATGTCTAATAACTAACCTTGTGCAATTTCATCCATTCACGCTCCAACAAAACCTGAATATTTAATTGTTGAGCGTGAAGCATACTCAACTTTGTTAGCTGTTTATTTAATTGACATTCGTAAAACTCATATATGTTGAGATTTGTATTTGGTTGATAAATGTGTCCAAAATGTTCAGAATTAGTAAGGCAGGGGTCGATAACACACTGATCCTCAAAGAGTTTATTGACTCTAGGCGAACATGGCATGGATTGGACTGTTTCAGGAAACAACTGCTGTATCTGTGAATCGTCTGATATATATTGGTCATATTCTTCAGGTTCGGTAATGAAAGTTTGATTTGTTTGATGTCGAGGTACGTGTGAGTAGAGGTGATTCAAATTAGGAGTCGAGTTGAACATATTGGACGACTCGTATCCAAAGGTTTCTCGATCATGAGATAACAAACGGTTATTTTGAGGAGACGTTTTACTAACTGTTGGATTTTCACTAATATGAGTACTTTTCAAATGAAACTTATTCGTCTCATCATCTTCAAATTCTTCGACTAGCCCTAATTTTGAATCACGAGTTCTTTTGTCACAAACAACACCAAGTGAAGAATCATGGTTTGAAGCGCTTCTACTTTTATGATAACGATGATGCTTCTATATGATTGCGAAAAGAATACAGTTCACAGATATGTCTCAAAAAGTAAGAAAAAAATATATTTGACTATTCTGGACAAATCACGTTTTAATGAAAAATAAAGTTAAGTTAGTGACAAAACTGTGAGTTTATACATGGATTTTTTGAATCTATGTAGCGAAAACTTAAGAATCGTCTTATGGATAGAAAAAATGATGAAAACTTCCACTGTTACTTTATTTCACACACCATGAAGGAAGATGTCTCTTTCAATGGCAATAACAAGTCAAACCCATAATCCTTGTGTCAAGAATGGAAAATATGGTGATTTTAACAGTCACTCATTTTATAAAAACAATTCGTATTCTTTCTGTGCAGATGCAGACATAAAATCAAGCTTTGAGGCTTGCCTAGTAGTGCATTGGTTTAAAATTATACGCTTCAAAACGGTCCAAATCTTTATTTGCAAGTAAAGGCAAGAACATGAAAGTGAACTAAGAGGGATAATAATAAACAAACTCAAAATTAAGACGCATTCAATTTTTGATAAAATGTAAGGCAGCGAAGTACAAGTTAATGGAGTAGAATTTAAGTTTCTCGTAACAGATCTTGATTACTGATGTACAACTTACTTAATTTATCGTGTTTTTCCCATAACAATGTTAGTGCCATCATAGGCTTAAAGAAGTAAACGTTTCTAAGTAGATCAAGCCTTTGAATGCATATGTATCATTTAACTTAACTGAAAGCTGAGTTGGATGTCCGTCAGATAAGAACTAACTTTTAAATGATTGTGGTTTAGATTCGTCTTGAGTAGCATATTCGCCAACTGAAATCTGGCCGGAGTAGCGGTTAACTCCGCAAAAAGATAAGCTGCCGTTTTAGTCTCTTCATAAAACTTACGAAAAATAATGCGAAATTCTGTTTTACTGTCACTATTGAATACGAAATGTCGTATCACAAAGTTCATGGGTTTTGAAAGCAAAAATATTGTTAATTCGGTTTCGAAAGAATCAGGCTATTAACCAAAAAGTTATAATCGTGCTTAAAGACGTAATGAAGCAGAAGTGATCACACGACTCGAAGTAACTGATCATAACAACACAAGCAAATGAGTTTGAAGTGTCAGCTATACAGGATAAGGCCAGTGCACAGCTTATGAAGCCCATTTATTTGAATGAAGTAAATATGTCCAGAAAAACCAAAACACGGCCATTCATGTTTTTACTTTACCAGTACGCTAAAATGTCTCGTTTGACAAGTTAAGTTTTATCTTGTCAATCATTTCTAATGACCGTGTTTACGAGGTTCAGGCATCGAAGGCTTATAAATATTTTTTCGTAAAATGAATAAGGTGACTCGAATACCCTGGAGAATGTATAGACAGCAACTGCTCGTGCAATTACAGAACTCCGAAGTTTACCATACCAAGAGTCGCTTGAAAAGCCAGACCTCTCTATTCTATCCTATCACAGATTGAGACGTGATCTGATTTTGGTGTATGTAATATTAAGGAATGATTTTGAACCATGCATATTCGCCTCTTTTCTTTTCGCTATATCGAGATATCTTAGAGGATATAACAGGCAAATAGAGAAGCGTGAAATGAATCAAATACCCGTGGAATACAGGTTTTCACAACAAGTCATCAATACTCGGAACCGGTTACCAGCAGCAGTGGAGTCTGCACCTTAAGTTGACTCATCAAAGAGGATACCAGACACTTACAGAAGCATACCGGAAAATGATAACTGAAGCCGTAGGTATTCTGTCTTTACTATACAAATTTGAATTTGAATAAGAACACAACTGTATTAATGATCTGTTCGAATAAACTCACAAAAGTCAAAAAACTAAAATGAGCAAACTTTTCGAACTAACGTCTTCTACAGAAAGACACTTTATACCAATCAGATCAAATAAAGAGATGAAGTCTGCATTAATGCATTCTGGTTAGCTAAAATAATCATGACCGTACGATAAACTCTGATCAAGATATTACGCTAAAATCACCATATTTTTGATAGCAAACAGACATTAAGTTTAGAACTACGAATTACTTACAAGAAAGTTACATTTTGTAATATGAAGGCCAGAAATTCTCAAAGTAACTTAAGAGCAACGTCCAAATACTTTAGCGAATTTAACTTATAGAGTAAAACATCAAGCTCAGACTATTTAATTGACATCTAAAATCTATTTCAACAATTATCTGACACTCGTAACTCCTCACTGATCTTTAAATTACTTGAAAACACTACACTTAGTTACTTAACCACAATATTATTTATCAATGCAGGAAGATCAACTAGCTTACCTTCGAGTGACTTTGATCATGAAGTTTGTCTAGACTTCTTAGGTTTATTACTGGTTCTGTATAGGATGGCTGACTAAACGAGCCTCGTAAACTTCTTTTGTACATGGATGACGACTACAATTCAAAATGACACAATATTAGTGTGAGGTATTATCGATGACCTCATTCGATTCATTAGCCAATATCTTTCTTCAACTGTGAAAGAAATGTCTATTTCGCCCTGCCGTCTCAGCAGAAATTTACGGTTGAACGCCTCTAATACTACCTAAAAATGATAATTCAGACACTTGTCTGCACATGTTTTTGTGAATTCGACAGTTATTTTAAGTCAAACCAATAATTTAATGACAAACAATAGTTAATTGGTTGCACTTCAGCCGTTAGATCTTGGATTAAGAAAATGAATGTCTATGTGATCCTTTTCGGGTTCTCAATTAATGGCTTATATTTATCTTTCGCTCATTCTGGCGGCAGTTATAATCCCAAGCTGAATCATGATGATGTAGTGACTAACATTTATCACGAGAACACGACTGGTTTAATAAAAACAATTATTATTATAACCGACTGTACCAGTGCTTGTTTTAATGTGCTTTCGTTTGACTGTGCTAATGGCAGCTATATTGTGCTTTCATTCTTATTCTTACACTTCGGTTGTAACTTCGCGCGAATTCGGTTACTTTCTGTAACCAAGCTTCTATCCTGGCACGATCTCAGTATCCTTTTGATGCCACGAGATCACCAGCGAATATATCTTGATTTGGTCCATTAATTGCCTTCTGGTGTTTGGCTTCTCGGGGATTTCATGAAGTCATTTGGCACGAGTTTCTTGGTAGCGGTGTTCATATTCAATCTCCACTCGACACCACGCTACAATGATAAAACCATCACCAAATGAGGTTTCGTGATAGTTCCGTTTAGATGTTAGATCTTCAAAAACCTCCGGACGTTCTTGTTCTCGAGATGAAGAACTTACTTTGTACAGTGGAGTGAGCGTCATCGACTGGAGAATTAGTAACAGGTTCTATAGTGTACTTCTCTAATTTTTCCAACATTACCTTTCTTAGTAAATACATTTCTGTTCTGTACATGATAGAGCAGCTTCAACACACAGGTACACCGACGGAAGTTCATTTAAAGTATTAACGTCGTGGTGTGGCTTCAATACATGTCTAAAGGTCATAGTATTGCTGCCTAACTGTAATAAACCATGACTACCTAATACGTCATCTGAATAAATGATGTAAAATTCCAAAAATATAGACAGATAAACTACCAACATTGTAACATTTAATCTACTTTGTGCACAGTAAGACCCCACACTGTATATACAGTTCACCAACAAAGATTCTGGATGACAGAAGTGATCTCAGTGCAAATGTTTTCTCTACTAACTACGTCGATTTGTTAGTTAACTTGACAGTAAAAATATCAGTGGATCCTAGATAGCTTCGTTTCAACCACGTAATTCTGTGCTTCAACTGCAAAGTCTGATTGATCCGCGATGCAAATAGCTAGATAGGCATTTTATGCCTATGCTGATCTAGAAGGTTTGAATCAAACTTTCTAACTAATGGTTCATCGATTTATTCTTTCTACTTATCTGCATGTTATGAATAAACCTTCATTTTAGGAAATACTTCTTTTCCAGTAGTCATTTCACAATATATAAGCTCATCTACTTCGGCCGACGAACTTATATATATATTTCCCCAAAAAGCTAGCACCCTTTCAATTTATTTCGTTGTGAACCTAATAATATTCTAGTACTTTTTTTAATTCGTTGCTACCTGCTCTCCTCTCCGTCTTAAAACAACAAGATCTCTTTGGAGTGTAGCTATGAAATTCTGGTCAACAAAATCCTCTCACAAACATAGTTTGAGGCCGTGTGCGAAATTTGAGCTTACATGAAAAATTGTTCCCTTTTTAGCTTTTAAGATATGGTTATTGTCTTAGAATGAATACTAGTGTCATGAATATCTGCGAAAATCTTCAATTCAGTAAACCTTCAGTTCAAGCTCTAGGTAAAGCATTTGAAGTCCGAGGATACCATATAGGATTCAAGGCTAAAGGAATACTTCAAACATTGTTTAAATCTTGTGATTGACTTTATTTGAAGTCATCGTATTAAGAAATAAAATAAAATGTTGCACATGGTTCGTTAGATTAGTATACTAATAAGGACAAAAATCGGTGAGAGTGCCGTAATATATGTACTGACCTGTTTGAGTGTCATTTTCTTGGTGATTTACTTTTCTTCCAGGCAGGAACTGAGCGCAGTGTCGATCGGTAACAAAGACACGTGAGTGATTTTCATAATTGTGGTCAATCACATATTTACCTTATCGAAGTATATCCGAAATATTTAGCATATATCAGTGCCACAAACACCTCAAGTTATCTTTATTATTAAAAGTTTTAGTTTTCCCCCGTAAAAAACGGCGTTTTCGATTCTTATTTTAGTACAACTTTTTGTTTTCTGTTATGTTGTCAGGTGCAACTTACTAGCCTTTCGGTGTGATGTATGCACAAGCACGGATATAAAGCGTACAGAGTTCTTTTACTTTACTCTTAACACAATTTAAGATTGAAATTTCTATGCACTCGTTCCCTCCTTTGAAAATCAACCGCCAGGTATTTTAGTTAGGGAGTATGTATGTTAGTTGCCATATAATGAAGGTCGCGTTGGTTTCAATCAGTCGCAACAAGAAATTACCATAGGCCTAATTTAAATAAAATCAAGGCACTTTTGTCCGTTTCTCCGAAAATATAAATAATCGTTGAGTTATTTAAGCCGTGTTCAGTAGTCCTAACCAGTAACGAATGTAATCATTTTTCCGAAAATGACTTCATGAAGTTGCAATGTTATGGTTCAAGTTTGATGTTGGTCTAGCTTACCTACTCTGGAGCTTGCTTAAAATCGTGACATGCATATTCTCAAAGTATCTCCACGGGAGATTGCATGTAGTTTAAGTCATCCACCCTCAGAACAGATTACTTCCATTTGGTACCATCACATCTCGACTGTCTTTTTGTGGTTGATCATCTAATTTATTAAGGGGTTGACATCGCGTATTCTCATAAAAACAATCCTCATTTCGGACTTACTGTGTGCTAAGAAGTTACGATGCCAGTAAAACATTACTGGCTAAGATGAACTCATCTTAATCACAGATGACTAAATGACAAGTCTTAAATAAATTAAGGAACTTAGTCATATCCATTCACCAATAAAACGGGTTGCGAAAGCGCCCCACTGAACTAGCTCATGAGGTACCTGATTGTTTCTTGCACAGCTCTATCTTACATATATTTATTTGAAGTACTTAAGTGACGGGATTCTACCCATTATATAATGGTTCTGTAGAAGCGAGGACATGGGAGAAACGTCAGACTCTGTCGAAGCTGCCCGTCGTTTTGCTTCAACGGCCTTGAAATTCCTGACAGGAGGCAGTCATTCCGTATTTCACTTGCCGTGGATTGCATGAGTATTAGGCTTTTCCATATTGAAGTCACAATATTGCAGTCACAATCAACAGATGAATTAATACAAAGCGAACAGTATGTACGGCGAACACGCTTTAACCAGTAATACCTTCTAATATAAATCGTACCCACCAAGTGAAATCGAAAGACAGAAGCGAGGAGGTTCGAAGATATATTTGATAGGCTATCAAGGCTATCGAGGATCGTCTGATCTTATCTGTCTATCGATTGCAGGGTTCGTTGAGCAAGGGGAGTTCCCACTCGTGATCTGATGTGGGTGCATGTCCGAGCGCCTTTAGCTAAGTGAGCCCGTTAAAACTAATGTGGTCAGCATCCAATGTCGAAAACTTACAGAGTTATTTATTTCGGGGATTTATTTACCGCTACAAGAACAACTAAGTGTTTGTTTTATAACTACCTGATTTGTTACGAAAACTTGTATTACTGCATCAGTGTTGAAGTTTCACTAGAACATTGCGTCGTATATACAAGTTTCTTCACTTTGATGGATATTTATTACTACTCACAATTAATGTATTATTCTATCCCCACCCCAGATGTGTTATTCAGAATTACTAAGTATCATTGATGTGACTTCCATGGGCATGAAATGCAAAAGAGATAGAAATGGTGGCAGCTATAGGGTACATAAGACAGCTCTTCAGACTCGTAAAAGAAACTGGAACTAATAAGTCAAGTGTAAGTGAGACTATCTCGGAAAAATACGACAATCTCATCTGCTCCCAGTCCAGATGTTTAGAACGATGGGCGGAACGCTAGTGAGCAGTTCAACTACTTTACAAATACCCACCATTCCCAGACAGCGTGAAGGGAACATTGAAGTAAGTTCTCCGACTCTATCGGAATTTCGAAAGGCTATAGTTGATCTGAAACGAGGAAGAACAGCTGATCCAGATGGATTGGATCCAAAGGTCTTTAAGTATAGTGGTCTAATTTTAGCAATTAAGTTGACTAATATTATAGCTAAGATCTGGGAGCTGGAAGTAATCCCATCTGACTGTTCGCAACATATAAGAAGTGGTCAAAATAATCCTGTGATAACCATAGAGGGATTAGTTTGACTAACATAGCATCTAAAATACTAGCCTCAATGACTATCGGTTCTAGAACACAGGCATGCTTATCGGCGTCCGACTATGGTGGTGTTTCATGTCTTAAAAGCAGTATTAAGCCTTGTGAAGGCTCTCTATTCGAACACTACTAGTCGAGTCATGTTAGATTTTACAGATTACGCAATCACATCATGACAAATCCACCGTTTCGGGACTAGGTCTATTATCAAAGTTTAAAAAATAGCTAATTACTATAGAAAAAATCTAGTAGCTTACCTCTATTTGAAGTGCGTGATAATGGTGTTTGATAATCAACGGTAATATAATTCTGTATGTTAACCGGTAATATCCATTACTGTCCAATTCGTACTCTAAGAGTTACACATGGGACAGTATTTACGTAAGAAAGGACTCTGCAATCACAGCCGAAGGTAATGTGTTTATAATTTAAATTGGTAACAGAATAATGTACATAGGAATCATCAATTAGTACAAATCTCACGTGATGTTGTCATGAAAGACAATGAAAATATCAAGACCAAACAGTATTGATCAGAGAACATACCACTTCCGAAGAGTACATCCTATATTTATCTCGA